GCGTTCTTCGCTGACGATATCCGAGTAGACGGCGTACAGCGACTCCAGAAAAGCGCCCGACTGGAAACGGCCGGGCTTCTGTTGGTTTTTCAGCAGGAGATCGGTCAAGTAAGATGGCCTGATTGAGGATATTCTTTTCTTGTCGATCCTGATGGCGCGTTCGCCGTGCAGTATGCGGACGATGGACGGGTGAGAGATCAGCCGATCGTCCCGTTCATGGATATCCAATCCGTGCTCCAAGGCGACACGGCGCAACTCCGCGGAGTAGCCATCCCTCAGATATTGTTCTTCTTCGTTGTCCTGGAACGGCCAGGATCGGACCGCGTTGGCCACGGTCTGCCCCAAGGACCCAAGCGCATCATCGAGTCGGCCCTGCGCCCTCTTCAAGGCGGCGATGTTCCCCTCTTTGGAAGCCTTCTGCAACTGTTTGGCCAGCTTTATCAAATCCCCGGCCGAAGCCAGCGTTGAGGCCGCGGCTTTTTCGGTATCGCTGAAGGCTTGTTCGAAACTGTCCATCCTTACTCCCGACGGTTATCCTGTCAGCCGCAACTGGACCGGATTGTATGATTTCATTCCGGCGAATGCCGGGCACGACTTGGTCTTGAGGCGGGTTGGAGATATCACACGTTTCTTTGAATGAAGAATGTTATCAACATGAACGACCTTTGGTCAAGGCAAGGGTCCTATGCCCTCCTCATAAGTGCAGTGTCGGAGAAAAGGACAACTTCGGCGACGGACCGTAAAGCGTCGTTAGGCTGACCTTATTCCAGGCCACGGTGTGCCTCTACCCTGGTAACGTCTCGACCTGTAGGCGATGGGCCGCCCGGATGAGCGTCTTGTCCCGTGTCGCCAATTGTACCCCCCGCCGCGTGGCAAGCTCCAGATAAGCGGCATCGTAGGTCGTCAGTCCTTCTGTTCGGGCCAGCGTGAGTATTTCCCGGAACGCCCGGTTAGCCGTTTCGGTGTCGGTAACGATCGGCAAACGATCCATTAGATCGATGGCTGCGGCAATCTGCGTAGCGGTAATGCGCTTACGCCGTTCTGCCCGCGCCAGAACGTTGCCGAGTTCCAGGCGCCACAGAGTGGGAACAAGCGCACCGGAGTCCTTCATCTGCTCCAGCAATGCGTCGGTTTCAGGCGCGGCCTCGTCATCAAACAGCCAGGCAACGGCGATTGAGCAGTCGAGAACAAACACGCTCATCGCCGACCGTCGTCGCGCAGCTTCTTCCAGTCCAGGCCGCCCAGCTTCAGATCCCCGCGGAGCGCGCGAAGGTCCTCGATCACGCTTTCGGTCCTCGCCCGTGCCGCTTGCCCGGCGGGAACGAGCCGGGCGACGGGAACGCCTCGTCGGGTGATGAGCACTTCTTCCCCCCGCGTGACCTTGTCAAGCAGCGAGGACAAATGCGTTTTCGCGTCGAACGCGCCAACCTCAATCATAGCGTCGGTGTCCTTTTCAACTAGTTTATTCAACCAGTTTAGCAAATGACTGAACTGGGTGGCAAGCGCCGTACGGGCCGCGCAAGTGCCGTGATGCGCTTCTCCCTGCTGAAAATGACGGGCATCCGGCCTAGCCGGCCAGGCCGCGCTCCATTATGTAACGAGCGGTGGCGCGGACGCTCTCGGCGGCGGAAATGAAGTCAATGTCGAGCAGCGTTCGTGCCCGGGCGTTCTCCAACTCCTGGCGCCGGCCGAGCAGGGGGACGATGGACCGGATGGTCCGGTCGAAGATCGCGATGAGGCGGATCAGGATGTCCGGGAGCGGTTCGCATCGGTATCCTTTGTGTGGGTGTGCGGCCTTCAGTATCCCGGCGATCTCGGCGAGCCACATGAACTCGGCGGCTCCGATGATGCGTTTGCCCGCGGCGCCCGTCGCGGCAATGGCGCGGACGTGCATCCTGGCGACATCCATGACGTCGACCACGCCGATCCCTACGTTCGGCAGCATGGGGTCCCTGCCTCTGAGCAGCCGTTCCACGATACGTAACGACGTGCCGTAGTGGTCGTCGAGGGGTGTTCCGAGGACGAGGCATGGATTGATGGTGGTGAGCTCCATGCCCGGCGCATCACTCTCCACGAAATCCCATGCCGCCCGCTCCGCCAGGGTCTTTGATTTGGTGTAGGGAGTGATCCCGGGCCATGAGGGGTCGCTCCAGTCGGACTCGTCGAATTTGTTCGTGTCGACGTTGCCCGCCACGTTGGTAACGGCTGCGGTCGAGGACGTGAGCACCACGCGACCGATACCGGCCGCGTGGGCCGCCCGCAGTGCCCTCAGGGTGCCGTCAACCGCGGGCCGCACCAGCTCGTTCTCGTCCCGCGGCTGCGCCATGGGCAGGGGCGACGCCGTGTGCATCAGGACATCCACGCTCGACATGGCGTCTAGCCAGCCGTCGTCCTTGCCGAGGTCCAGGGTGACGAAGCGCAGGCGCTGGTCCAGGTCGGCGGCCGAGGAGAGATGCGGGCGCACCGCATCGCGGACTTCGTCCCGGCGCGATGGCGACCGTAGCGAACCGACCACGCGATAACCTGCATCCAGCAGTTCAAGAACGATGTGCTTGGCGATGAAGCCGGTCGCTCCCGTGACCAGTACAGTCTTTGGTTCTCCGGAGGCCGAGCGGGAGAACCTCGGCATCGCGCCCGCGTCTTTGGAGACTGTCGAGACCATCGCTGACCTTTGCCCGGTGCCGCGGGAGCTTCGCTATTGCTTCCGGGCGCCGAACGCTCCCAACGCCGTGGGGTATGTGAACACGCCTCCGACCTCTTCGTGTGCGTCGGGAGCGGGTCCGTAGAAGCGACCGGCGATGTGTGCGGTTGCCGTGCGGTTCGTGAATGCCCCGTCACTGACCGGGACGGCATCAAACTGAAAGTCGGGGTAATCGTCGTTGGTCGTCAGGTTCTCGATGTCGGTGAAGAACACATCAATCGTCATGGAATCGAACCCGAAATTGAGGGTGACGTCGCCCCGAAGCGGGTGGACGCCACCGTGCCCCTGCGTGTGGCCGAGCATCACACCCTCCCATGTGGCATTGCCTTGGGGAGCCGTTGTATTCCTCTTGCCGAAAGAGAGATTGTAGGCCACTAGTACATTCAGGTTGCCAGGCTTCTCACCGCTGGCGATGGTGGTCTCAAAAGCGCTGTAGTCCAGCCAGGCACCGTAATGGGAGGTCGTCCATTGGACTCCCCCCCGGGTCTCCGTGGCGCTGTATTCGGCCAAGCCGAGCCCCTTGTACCTGCGAATATCGGATCGCTCGATGTCAGGATTGACCGTCACCCCGACCAAGTCGCCGAGCGCGTTGACGGGCTCAAACAAGGGCACGCCGGTTCGCGTGCAAGTGTTTGTGTCGGTGATGCACTCATACTCGGTCAGAGGATGCCGTTCTGTCCCTTCGACGGACAACACATCGCTCACCATCAGGGTATCGGACCTGGCGACGACTTTGGCGAACCCTCCGGCCACCTCCACGTGTCCAAGGACTTCCAGCGCCTTGGTCTTGTCGGCTTCCGAACAGGCAGTCAGCAAAACCACGAGCGCGAGCGCTGCACGCCACATAGGGAACCTCCTTTTTCCGGACGGAGCGTTGGAACACTCCGGTCGTCTCTCTCGTTTCGTAGCCGCTTCAGGTCTGATACAGCCCGTCGATGAACCCGCTGTCGTCGATCTTTCGCAGGTAGTGATAGTCCCACAGCGACATGGGCTCGATCTGCGCCGCCGCCGGGTTCTGGCGCTTGGCCAGTTCGTAGACGTTGCCCACGGCCTCGAAGGAGGCGTAGGGCTTTGGGCTCAGGATCTTCGAGATGCTCTCCCACAAGCGCGTGGCGGCCTCCAGGTCGAGCTCGCCCTCATGGTTGTACCGTTCCTGGATGATCTTGATGGATTCCTGCCGGTGGGTCTTGAAATAGGCGATGCCCTGGCAGGTCCCCTTGAGAAAGCGCTCGACGATGTCCGGGTTCCGGTCCACGAATTTGCGCCCGCTGGACATGGTGGTGAACCAGACCATGGGGAGAGGGTCCGCGGCGATGACCTTCAACCCGGCGCGCTCCGCGAAGAGGTCGGCCGGCGGGTTGACCAGCGCCGCGTCCGCGTTGCCGTCCCGTACGGCTTCCCATGTTTGGCGCCGCGAATCCTTTCGAGCTTGACGTCTCCCCGGTCTTCGTCGAGCCCGTGCTGCTTCAGGAACAACCAGGTATTGAGACCGGGGTGGTTCCCACGGATGGCCACGACCTTCTCCTTGAGATCCGATACCCCCTCGATGCCGGAGTCCGCCCTTACCACGAGCCGGTGGTCCAGGAGGCTCACCGTCTGGCCCAGGTAGAGCCACTGATCGCCGCGTGTGCGCGCGGCATACGTGGAGACGTGGTTGCCGCCGACAAACTCGACACTGCCGTCGGCCACGTGCTTGTGGGCGTCCTCGGAGCTGATGTAGGCGTCGTACTCGACGTCGAGATCGTGTCTCTCCCACGAGCCGGACTCCGCCACCACGTGCAGGAACGCCAGATGGCTGCTGGACCGGTAGGGGAAATGTATCTTGTCCATGGGTTGCTCCCTAGTGTGGTGTCTCACAAATACGCTTACGAATCTGCGGGTCCTTTTGGCCGTCGGCTGCGTTGCTCTTCCTCGCGTGGTAACGCCACAGCTCGTCCTGAAGCGTAGCGCAGCGAAGTCGAAGGACGCTTGCCGACGACCAAAATGCCCTCGCATCTTCATAAGCGTATTTGTGAGACACCACACTTGGTTCCGTGACTGTCATTCAGGTCAGTCCCATGATCGAACGGCCCGGCAGGGCCTCATATCCTATACACCAGCCGCGCATTCCCCGCGAGTGACGGCAACCCGGGCCTGACCGTGGCTTGAGACCGCCCGTTTATATGATATAGAGAAAAAAGTGCTCGTAAAGCAAATAACCTTGTGATGCATCATGTTGGCGTCCTGCAATGGGGATCTAGTTTTGATTCTCCGTGCATACCCTATTTCTTTGGCAGTCCCTGCTTAATTATCATGCTCTCTGTGCATAGGATAATAATGAAGGTGATATGATTTGCGTAATTAAATGACTACAGTGCGATCCCTCTACTGTATATACTAGATACGTTTTACGTGCTATATTTAATGTCAATGATGTCACCATGAATCCACAGTAGTTGTTTGTGTTAGCAGTTTTAAACAAACTTTCCATTCCACTGCGATTTCAACAACTCATGCGTTAGTGGTTTCCCGGCCTATAATTTTCTCTTGGGTCTTCCTTTGATTGTACACTTGGTTCTCTTCCTCCATCTTTCCTCCATTCTTCTCTTCCTCCCCCTTCTCGTCATCTTCCCCAGGATGCACACGAGTTGCTGACTCAGTGTCTTGATCAACTCAAAGACGACTCAACTGCTGTCAAGATGGCAGTCTCTGAGAACGAGGAGCCCCTGGTAATCAACCCTTCGTTTACCCCTCCTCTGTTACTCTCTGCCTTTGTAATAGGTCTCTGTGTGTCCCGTGGTCAGAAATTTTGAGTGTGAGATGTGTCGCACCATTACCTGCAAGAGGTACGTAACAAAGTGTTTAGATATACAGGTAACTGTTATAACTGTTCTCTCCATGTGGTATATATATATATACACGTATTGTGTTATCACAACTACCTCCATTGTTTGATGTTTATCCGCTGTCCCCACTTGCTTGTAAAGGTGTGGAAAAGTCAGCGAAGTGAGCGAAGTCATCTATGACTTTGCCCTCCAGTTGCCTAAAAGGTATGTATTACAGTAAATCTCAGAGTATAGAGTTGTCAAATGTTTTTCATTGTCAGTGTCAAATCGAGACCCAATGAGCAAGCCAATCTTCAAGACCTTCTGGACAGGTTTTTCAAAGTCCGTGAGAAACGTCCAAGTTAGCACGGACATCCATTACTAATTGTGTTATAATATAGTCGGAGGAGGTGGAGTATAAGTGTCCCGAGTGTTCGTGCAACACTGCCACCATGTCCTGTCGACTGGCACGTCTACCCAGGTATGGCCATGTCAATGCATTCACGCTACCGTACACACACACATGTGTAGGTTGTGTGTTTGTTACCAACACACACCCTGATAAAGTCTAAACCAGATTCTGAGATGGTTGCAGATACACTTCTAGTGTATAGTTGTATTAGGCTCGTGGAGATCCCAAATAAGTTGGTTTACTAAACAACCCGATGTCCCTGTGTCACAACCAACAGCTGCACATGTGTACTTTGTTCTACTTGTCCATGCTTCCCATGTTGTTTGACAATTGCATAAAGTGTTTCGTCCGGGTTTGTTGCAGAGTAATGATCATATTCCTGAAGCGCTATGGCTACAACACTAACTTGTCTCGAAACTCCAAGAGGATTGATTTCATCAGGATTCCGAGATTCATTGCTGTTGGTGTGTTCAGTGGTATACAGTGTGTGCTCCTTTGATAGCTGTGTGCAAGTTGTACTAAGTAGGGTTTGGTAAACCTACTTATGTGCCTCAGTTTGAGATTTATACATGTTTAACCGTTAGGTCATCTTTGCTCTGATACTACTACTCCACCTTGCCAGTATGAAGGTCCTTGGCCAAGGTCAGTGCTTTGTAGACGGCGTGTGAGTGTATGTGTAGGTTTTTGATGCACTGCATGTTTATGTTTGAAAGTCCCGTGCCAGTTTTGTTGCGGAATATGTTATTTGTTTGTAATGCCGTCTGCAGGACTACAAACTCGTCTGGTTCCTGTTGTGATGACAAGGAGAATCTCCCGTCCACTGAGGGAACTGACCAGCGTGGTCCCCCCAGGGAAAATCTCCCGACGACTCCTCAACCCGGAGAGCTGCAGAACTCTGCTCTTGGGAGCGAGGAGGGCAGCAGAATTCTTGGAAAGAGGCGGGGGAGTGAAAGTATTGAGCAAGAGTTTGCAGCATGCGGTCGAGATTGCAATGTCGTCAAAAAACAGAAGGTGGACTATGATCATCAAGTTTCAGTTTCGCTCAACTCTACTGCACAACTTCCTGCAAGTCATCAACTAGCTGTTTCTAGTGACTCCCCAGCTCAAACCACCAGCAAAGGCCCCTTCTATACAAATAATCCCCCTCTACAGTCTTCGATGAATACCGGTGTTGGTTCCACCACTGTTGTCCCCAATGACTTGGTCAGTGAGAACACAACTACCAATGATGCTAGCTACAGCCAGAACTCTGTAGGTAGAGACATTGCTGCCGAGTTTGATTCCCTGTTCAGTCCAGAAATCCTCCTCAAATTGGACAATGATCTCCAACTGAAGGGTGGCCCTTGCGGCGATGCCCTCCCAGTTACGACATCGCCCACCGTGGAGAAAAGCAGTGTAGCAAAGCCGACTAATGCATCCGCTACTTCAACCATTGCACCTTTACCTCCTGGATCGTTGACCGATGCTCACACCCGAGGTGTCTCCAGTTCTGAAACTGAACGTCCACTCTCTTCTGAGAGAACGAAGGGTAACGAGGATGGTTTAATGCACGGGCTTTTCGGAGGTGTGTCATCCGAAGAATACTCCAAGTGTAGGTCAGAGAGGACTCCGACCAGAGACCTACCTCGCAGAGCAAGGGCCGGCCAATCCGGCAGGGTTGGCGAAAACCTGGAGGAGGAAGATGTTGGACTCAAGAGAGCCATGGAGCAGAGTTTGAGAGAGCAGGTGTGTAGCAATAGCTGATTCTTCTTCGTTCATCTTTTGCCTGTTGAAGACATTGTGCCTAGTCTTGTTCCTGTGCTCTTGTGTTGTTACAGCCACCGAGCGACATGGAACTTTTACAACGAATGGGTCTGTCGGAAGAAGATCAGCTTAGGTTGGCTCTGGAGCTCAGCATGCAAGGTTTGTGCCTCTCCCTGTGTTTTAGCCACCTGTGCAAGCAATACGGCATATAGCCCACATGTCAAACAGTTCTACCAATGTTTAACTATTATGAAAGTTACACTATAATACTATACAGAGCAATGTGTGGAAGATGGTGCTATGGACCAGCAGTCATCCAGGGACACTGCCGAGCCAGACACTCCCACACCTGATACCCAGCGACCACAGGTAACTAGTACATCGTAATGTTGCTGTTGTTCCAATTAGTGACTGTTGGTGCATGTGTATTTCCACAGACGTACAAACTGGTGGGTATAGTCAACCATATTGGAAAAGCATCTTCAGGAGGTCTGCTACTATATATACCCATACTTGTGACCGTGTCCCATCTTTTTCACATGGGTTAAGATAATTGTTCTCACTGTGCTACAGGGCACTACATTAGTGATGTGTGCAGTGGTCGGGAGGGAGTGTGGAGAAGCTATAACGACAGCTACGTGACTGAGGCCAAGGAGGAGGACATTAGACAGAGGAGGAAAGGAACTGGCTACATCTTCTTCTACATGCACAAGTAATACTGATCTCACAGTTGATGTTTGCTGTATATATTACTTGTGCATTATTTCCCGACAGATCTGTTCTAGGTAGTATAAGTACCAAGAGAACTTCTTGACCACCATCACCATCTGACTCAGTATAATAATACACTTCTGTCATTATGTTTCACGTTACACCATTGTTTTTACCAACACAATTATTATAGTTTGAAGTTTATCTTGTAGCTACCCTGATGACCACGATTAGACTTTGAATCTTTGTCGTATCCAGTGGCTGAATTAACCATGTATCAGATTGTCCGTAGATTCTCAACATACAGACGGCACGTGATCTGATTATGATCTTTGTACCTCAAAAGTATGATGCCAACTGTAATAGACTCGGTCATTCGAGGACTGCGTCAGTACAGATATATATAATATACACATAGTCTCGTATCAAAAATACTTAGAGCTCATAGCGTAACACCTATCACAGCTGCTTATATTATAGGATGGACATGACATAACGTGACATAACACCAGTACTAATGCGCATGCACACTCAATACATTACACCAACAAACTAATTATGCCCTCAGTTCTGAACACGAGATTAAGACACCGTCCACTGGCGACACTCAGTGTAGCAAAGCCAACTAATGCTTTTACCAATACAATGTCGTGTCTTCTTGCCTGCGCACATGCAGATTTAAAATTACATTTACGTCAACTAATAATCCTATACCTGCTTGTCCGTATGAAATATTTGGTACCAGACACTCACATGCTCCTTTGCAAAAGAGGGTTCATCAATGAAAGAAATCAGGGAGAGAACAGGAAAAGACTGACTTTGATGGACTGCGGGCACCCATGATTCCTCCAAGTAAAGCTATACAGTCAGTTATTGATGGTCTCCTCACTAGTGTGGGTGGTTGGAACAGCGGTCAACCCACCGACGCTCTCCTCAGTCTCACTGGAAAATGGTGGAGGAAACAGTGGTCTCAGCTCTTGCCTCCCATGCCTACACCACGTAGAAGCTCAGTTTGCGTCACTACCAAACAGACTTGTGTTGTGGCTGGAGGATATGGAATAAGAGATGATTAGCCACACATCATGGACGAAGTATTATTGAGTATTACTCCGGAGAAGGCTCACTGGGTGAGCGCTATGGTGGAATCTAATTATGATTTACCTGGAGGTAGCTAATGAACACTGACACTATTAATCATAGGCCAAAGTTGCTTCTCTCCCGTAATGTAGTATTTCATTGACTTCTGCTGTCTTGAGGAGATAGACTTTGTGTGTCTTAACTATGTAGCTTATGACCCCTTGTTCATGTTTTGAGCCATCCCTATAGCTACCCCGATTTTTCCAAGTATAGGTATTGTTATTGATACACTTCCGAGTACCACTTCCCAGAGCTATACACCATAACTCCGTCAAAAAGTGGAGTTTCTGAAGTTAGTTTATATATTATTATTTTGTTTATATACGTGGACATACTCAACCACACTGTTTTATATTTGTTTTTTTTATTCTGACTCTAAAATGAACCCCTCAGCAATCGGTGTCAGTTAGAAGTTGCGTCTATACTAAAGTACCTTATAAGGCAGTTCATTGTGCTCTTATCTAGCTTTGCAACAACTTTATTACGTTTGCACAATCTCCAGGTAATTTATAATATACTACCGCAACATATGGGAATTTGTCTGTTTTGTTAATCATGTTGTCTGTATAGCTGCAATAATACAAAATATAGTGTAAGAAGAGTGCAATAGCACTTGTGCTTTTGGGCGACTTCTTAATCATGGAAATTCGTGTGCTGGCCTCTGCAGTGCTGCTATATAGTTGTTTGCATAGTAGTCTCAGGAAAATGATCAACCACTGACTACTAGTGAACTCAGACATGCCATGACAACCTTCATTATACAGGATGACACAGCAGAAATTCAGCATTGTGATTGGCTAGTTGGACTACAAATCAGTTAACGTCAGCCATCTCGGCACATACAGGATATCCTCCTCGGCTGGTATAGTCAAGGGCCTCGGAGTATATCCTGTACCACCTGCCGCCTATACATTAGCTAATACATAATGTGAGCTGGTCTTAGTCGCCAGGCTCAGAGAGTATATAGTCAATAGCTGGTGGTTCCTTGCATACCATATACCACAAATATTTAATGCTATCCTAGTATAGTGTTCCACAAAAATGCTCACAAAGTGTACTGAAAAATGTTCAAACCGGCTAGGATCTATCCCACCATAACACAGTGTCCGGAAAAAAGTGAGGTTTATGAAAGTATTCCACTACACAAACTGAATGTGAGCTCTACACTCAAATACCTGCCTTTTATACGTCCCTGACTACCATGGTGGTGGAAGAGTAAATTATGTGGTTCTTCGCAGATAGCTAATAATAGCTTTTTATCAGTATCTGGTTACTTAATACCAGGTGAGATGTGTATTGATTAGAGGAAGAGGGATACGTATTTAATGCCTGTATTGACATCTTTCATTTGTGCAACTTCAGACTAAAACACAGAGGTATTGGGCTTGCTTGCTAGTCACTGGGTGAGATCATTATCAATTGTCATCATCATACATTATTGTGCATACACTTATTTTTATAACATTATGGAGACACAAATCGCAAAATTAGTATATGCCAAAAACACTCAGTGCAAAAACGCTAAAATTAGTGCCCGCAATTAATAGTAACCTTAAGGTAATGCTTTTTTGCTTCGAACACCGTTACGATTGTGTATAGTGCGATCCCGTCAAGAGTGGCATCAAAGGTCTTTGAATCTAAAGGCCGCAGACTCTGGTAAGTGAGGGCACACTCAATATGTGCTTGTTTATGCTAATAATGCAGGCTGCCCAGAAGAACACTTTGACAGTGATACCCTGTCGCATGGGAGAGATGATGAGGAAGGTATACACATGTGTAGTGATACCTATTCTTATGTTCATGAAACCACTTCAGGAGGCCTAGCTGGAGCTCGTATAAAATCACCTCAGCTTACTCGTAAGTGTATGTATTGTTTTACTGCTTGCACAACTATTGCCTTCCCTCTCTTTTTCTCTTTCTTTCTCTTTTGTATATATTAGGTGAGGACACTGACTGTTTCCAAGGTTTATGTAACCATCCCAGAGCAAGGAATTGGGTCCAGTGTGAGCAATGCGGCAGATGGTTTCACTGTGTCTGCCAAAATGTGACACTGAAGAAAGCAAAAGATGTTCCCTTTTGTTGCTGTTAAGGTTCGCCCTTATTGTGTGGGCGTCGATATTTTAGTTAATAGCATGGCTATACCGCTCGTGATTTATAGTGAATTTTGGTATATACCTGTCTTGGATTTTTCACTCCTTGTTTTACAAACTTATTAGCATATTCATATTCCTCCTCCATACATTCTCTATGGGAGAGAAAACCAGTGCGCGACTTCACCGGGAGCGAACGGTTCGTCGCCGACTCGCCAGTAGCGTTCTTTCCGCCTCCTACGATACGCGCAGGCGTATAGTGCACCAGGGCATAATTGTCCAAAATTTATGAAAAATTGTAACTTCAGCAGTGTATGTGCTGCGGACAATTACGAAGGGGCTATGCACAGCTCTTCAAAAGGCGATTCTTACGATATATTTTGTTGATGACGTTGAGAGACGTAAACCGTTATACGCGTATACTCGAGGAATTTTTGCGTAGAGTCCGCGTAAGGCGTATACGTGACGTCACGTAATAAGATATTTTTAGCGGTCAAGCGTGAAAAATTTTATAAGGTGTGGGGGGAGTGACCGCGCACGTTTCGCGATCGAACGCGCGCGCAGAGCGGCGGTCTTGACGCCACACGCGCATGCGCAATTGATCCAGCTGGCCTGGCCTGTCGGGCCGGCCGGGGCGACTTGCATAAAAAGGCTTCTCGCGAACGCGCCAACTCGCTAGCGTGCTGGCTCCGTTGCCGTTTGGTTGTGTTCTTCCGCTTGGAACGAGTTTACTCTACCTGTTGGAGATCGTCTGTTCTGTTGCAGAGGCTCGCCTACCCCTCGTCTCACGGAGGAAACCGGCGGGAAGTTGTTTTTTGCACGTAGTATTTTGTTCCGTTTTTTTGCAGCTAGGTTTATAAAGATGCCGCCAAGGAAAAGAAGACAGCGGGCTGGTGCGATGAACTATCGGAAGCGCAAGGATGTTACAGTTGCGAGGGGCGATGGTGGGTCAGGAGCTGTGGAAGGAAGGGTCGAAGGGAGTGAGGCCCACGGCAGGTTGGAAACTGAGGAACGGGGGGTCGAAGAGAGGTCGGAGGAGGTAAGGGATGACGGCGGGACCGGAACGCTGGAAGTCAGGGTGCAAGGGAGGGAGGAGGGGAGGGATGACGGCGGGTCGGGAACAGTGGAAGAGAGGGTCGAAGAGAGTGAGGAAGCAGAATGCGGACAGTCATCGAGTTCATTACGCAGCAGCGAGGAAGCACCAGCAGCCACCAAGCGACGGAGGCTCTCTGAAATCACTGCCATGGGCGATGAACCACTTCAGGCTTGGCTTGATAGTCTTCCCCGGGAGGACTTGCAGCACATGGCACTGCTTCTGTATACAAGGTTTCCCACTATTTTTGGTCTCAAGAAAACCGACACAGCTACTGCTGTTGGAGAGATTCTTCACAAGAATGAACGCACCATCAGACGTTGGGTTGATGACTTTGCATCGAGCAGTGGAGAGTTTTCAGACTCTCAACAAGGCCACTACACTAGAAACAACACGCTCATATCGAACGAGGAGATCAGTGAGAGGGCAAGAGTCTACGTACGGGAAAATGCTGCTCCAAAAGGTAGACCCAACCTTACAGCCACAGCCTTCTGTCAGTGGGTGAACAACGAACTACTACCAAACTCCACCCTTGAGCCAGGCTACCCCCGCAGGGTGTCTGTGGAAACAGCACGAAAGTGGCTCCATGATCTTGGGTTCGATGTTCTTCACATGTCAAAGGGTGTGTTCATTGATGGACACGAACGCCCTGATGTCGTGGAGCCCAGGGAGAAATTTCTGAGAAAAATGACGGAACATGGATTTCTCCGTCCCGACAATGCCCCCACCGAGGAAGCTGCCCGAGCACTGCCAGCTGATGTTCCACACATGTCGAAGGAAGAGGGAGAAAAGCGCATTGTGTGGTTCCACGACGAGAGTGCCTACAACACAACTGAAGACACACCAATGCTGTGGGGGGAGAAGGGAAAGCTGCCCATCAAGCCAAAGGGAAAAGGCTCCTCCATCATGGTGTCAGAGTTCATCGAGGAGAAAGACGGCTACTTGGCACTCTCTGACGAGCAGTATGAACTAGAGGTGGCAAACAGTGGTGGTGGCATCGAGAAGTCTGCCCTTGCACTGCTGGAGATCGGTGAGAACCGTGAGGGGTATTGGACCAGTCAACGTTTCATGGAGCAGGTTACCGAGGCTGTGAAAATCGCTGAAGTCAAGTATCCATCATCACAGGGATACCACCACATCTGGTGCTTTGACCACAGCTGCAACCACACTGCATTTGCGGAGGATGCTCTGATTGCTTCCAAGATGAACAAAGGCCCCGGGGGAAAACAGCCGAAGATGCGAGACACGGTCTGGAATGGACAACCACAAACCATGACACTGCCAGATGGACGACCAAAGGGAGCGGCCCTCGTTCTCGAGGAGAGGGGTTACGACACGAGGGGGATGAAGCTAGAAGACATGCAAGCAATTCTAGCCAGCCACGACGACTTCAAGAATGAGAAATGTCGCGTTGACAGATTTCTAAGCCAAAGAGGTCACACATGTGTGTTTATCCCCAAGTTTCACTGTGAGCTCAACCCGATTGAGCGAGTTTGGTCTCAGAGCAAGCGCTACACAAGGGCCTACTGCGACTACACCATTGGCTCTCTTCGACGAAGCATTCCTCTGGGGCTGAAGAGCGTTTCAAAGGAGAACATTGCGAACTATGTGCGTCGATGCATGAACTACATGTTTGCATACCTGGAGGGATCGGCAGTCGGAGATGAACTAGATAAGAAGATCAAATTCTACAAGTCAGTGAGCTACACATCACACAGGAGGGTTGGTGTCAATGATTGACTTTAGAGACAACAACTAAAAGCAACTGTGACGAGGATAAAATATTGGAGCATTTCAAAAGGGAACATTAAGTCGTTGCATACCATAGCATATCTAGAGGGAAGACAAAGAGTTGGTGTCCATGACAATTGAATAATAGGCAAGAGCACAAGTAGAGAAGATGAAAGGAAAGAAGCAAGTAAGTTGTAGGTATATAGAGGGGTGGGAGGGACAGCATGGGGCAAAGTGTGCCACCACCTACTCTAATGTAAGGTGGGAGAAGGAGGGTGTTGTGACAAAAAAGAAAGTCACATAGCTTTCTGGCTGGGCTATGGACATATGTTTATACACCCAGCATTGTTAGCTGCCTGAGCTAGAATTCATATGTTTATACAGAATTATAGTGTCACTGGACTACTGACCCTAGTAATTATATTGTGTGTGTCACTCTTGCACAGGTTATTGTGCTGTTGGTGGAAGTTAAGTGGGACAGGGGAGGGAGTGGAAACACCACAAACCCAGCAGTAAGTTTCTTTCTTTTTACTGCACATTGGTGAGCTACTGAGTTATGGCTACACCCAGCATTGTTAGCTGCCTTTGAGCTAGAATGCACCTACTTTATATGTTTATACAGAATTATAGTGTCACTGGACTACTGACCCTAGCAATAATAATATTGTGTGTGTGTGTGTGTCACGTGTGTGTCACTCTTCAGTCTTCTGCCAGTGTAAATACATACAGAATGAAAAGCACTGAAGTGCAAACCTTAGGCGCACTGTGACGCGCACGCGTAAGTCAACGCATGCGCCGTGCCACTAATTGATGGGCTGGGTTTAGTTTTCGTGGTCTCTTACCAGCTCGCGCAGAGTCTGACGTGGGCTAACTACACTACTAGATAGCATGCGAGAGGTGATACACGCCCTGCGTTGCATCTTCTGGTGCCTCCGAGGTACGCAGAGCACGCGGATCGATCTTGCCGTACTAAGCCGTTGTGTATTTGCATATTGGCTTTTTCGCGCTCTAGCTTTGCAACGGAGCGTTTCAGAGAAAACCCCACATATTTTTCTGCCCTTCTGCCGTCAGTAGGTGGTACCTTGTGAGACGACGACAACACTCGAGAAGTGAGATGAAGAGTAACGGACAGAAAGACAGACAGACAAACCCAACTACCGTAACCCTCGCTGCGCATGTGCGCCGAGGGTTAAAAATTCCCCATTGGAACAACTAGTGTAGTATGTTAAACAGTGTTGGCGAAGGGGAGCAACCCAACTGAGATCTTTCCCCGATGTTCGGGTGGCATCGACGTGCCGTTGGCACACAGCTTTCTGTTAAAGCAAGACAGAGCTACATGCGTACTATATTGCGAGAACGGTGAGCGGGCACGAGGCTTTCTATGTGTGTAGTTACCGTCGAATCAGTGTCGAACTATTGCAGAGTGAGCGCTTCACATTGAGCGCTCGGACTTTTCTGCGCACTATTCATTCATATGGTGAAGCGCTTCTAACGATGACTTGAAGGAGACAGGCCAGAGAGCACCAGAAAAGGCAGCGCAAGTTCTTGATGGAGCGCGGAGAAGACTCCGCCTTCTTTTTTGATCATGCGTGCGATCTGCACATGCGTGTGAAATATCAAATGATGTGTCAATGTAGATTCTTTGTAGATCTTGTTGTTTTCTTGTACGTTTTTTCTTGTTGTTTCTGTGTTTACTACGGGAAATAGTGAACCTCAGCTTTGCAATCTGATTGGTCGATTCGAACCTAGCTCACTTTAAATACACCAATAGGTGTATGTGGTGGATTTATCACTGTGTGCTATATTTTGAACCAATATGTATTCAGTAGCCACTATTGTTCATGCACAGGTGTATGAAGCTGAGTAGTGTTGACTGACTGTCTTAACATAATTTGCCTTTACTGTGTGTAAGTATACATCCTAATATTAGCTCTTACTGTGCATCCAATGCCCTTTCCAATTGGTGTTGAGATAAAGAGCTGTCCTAAACTGCGTATACGATACATAGGACCATGAAGGGTTTTTTTATTCAGCTGGTTGGGGGTTCCTTTAATGGATCGAAGCAAGGTGTATTATGTATGCAGTGCAACCTCCGAGCAAGGGACACTACGGGGCCAACAATTTTGTCCCTTGTAGAGAGGTTGTCCCTAATAATACACTAAACTATTAGCATGGGGTAGAGAGGTTGTCCTTATTTCAGAGGGTCCCCACTGTATATCAATGTTTTCATTATTGCCTACAGGTTGTTGCACAGTTGGTGAAAGGAGTTAAGTGGAACAGGGGAGGGAGTGGAAGTAACATGAAACTACTGTAAGTTCACTTTCACCTTGCACTGCAGTCATACTAAAGTAGTTACGGTAATGCACAAAATTTATCTAATTTGGTGAGCATGGGAGGAGAGGAAGATGACTATTGTGGGTGCATAGGGTGTATAGTGCTCTCAATGTGACTGGATTGTGCAATGGGTAAACAATAGTCTCTGGAACTAGGGTGTGTTTTTGTCGGCTAGACTTTTGATGGTGCAACACCATTGAGGTGCTTCTGCCCCAATCCGAGTGGTGGAGTGAATATATGGCTTTTTATACAGCTGGTTGGGGTCGGTTAGCAAATGATATATATTACCTAACTGTATTATGTTGTTGCACAGCTGGTGAAGCAGTTAAGTGGACAGGGGAGTGGTCATTCAACCAACATGCAAGACTGTCAGCAACCTCTCCTTACACAAACTTGGGACTGAGGACAACACCCAACAATGATCTGACGATCGTTTTAACTATTGCATATGTAAACTTGCCAGTTCAATATCCATGCAGTAATTGTTATGATTTGAATGCTCATGTTTTTGCGCCCGTATACAAAATCCTTGCGCATGCGTATAATCAAACTCGGGTTCATAAACGAATGGAATGTGTATGTCCATTGAAGTATGCCATAATTAGGCAAGTTGCGACAGGAAGTGATGCAGCAACAGCAGTGAGGATGTCACTCCCTCACTTATTGTCTTCTTGGTTTCACCAACGAAGATGTTGAGGGTGTAACGCTTGCTGTTCACGCTCAGTACGTCGGCAACTACAGCCTGCATCTGCAAAAATATATAGATTGGTATAATTATAGCCATTTGTGACCGTGTATATACATGAACACCAACCGTATTATGTTGGCAAAAGTATTTTCGGCGTTTTTATGAAGATACACGCCTTTTACGCGATCCTATATACTATCAACACAGGAAAAGTATGGCTTTCTCTCAGGCGAAAATGTAAATGCCACATACTAACAAGAACAAGAAACAAGGCTTGGTTTGGCAATATAATTATGTATAATATAGTGTTTTACTGCTGGTAGAATGAAAAGCACTGAAGTGCAAACCCTCGGCGCATTGTGACGCGCACGTGTAAGTAAACGCATGCGCCGTACCACTAATTGATGGGCTGGGTTTAGTTTTAGCTGTTACTCGTGGTCTCTTGCCAGCTCGCGCAGAGTCGCGGGCTAACTACACTACTAGATAGCATGCGAGAGGCGATACACACCCTGCGTTGCATCTTCTGGTGCCTCCGAGGTACGCAGAGCACGCGGATCAATCAGACCGTGGTAAGCTGTCCCGTCCGTTGTGTTTCCATATTGGCTTTTTCGTGCTGTAGCTTTGCAACGGAGTAGTTTCAGAGAAAACCGTTGTGAGTGAGATTGAAAGTAACAGACACACACACACACACACAGACAGACAGACCCAACTACCGTACCCTCGCTGCGCAGCGCACCGAGGGTAATGAAAAGCACTAAAGTGCAAACCCTCGGCGAACTGCGCATGAGCGGTATCACTATATAATATTGATGGCTGGGTTATTAGTAGTATGTGTTTACTCATGGTCTCCCGCTAGTAGCTCGCGGAGAGCCTGGCCACAGTAGTAGATAGCATGTGGGAGTCGATTCGTTGTGACTTCTTGTGCCTTCAAGATACACATAGCAAGCGAGGTATATCAGCCTGTGCTAATTAGCATATTGGCTTGTCCACTTGGTTTTCACGCCATAACTCTCGAACACAGCCCTCTTACGAAAACCACCATTTTAAAAATGAAGGCAGTGTAGGGCTGAACCTGTTGGTGCCGCTATTTTAACTGTTTGTTGCACGTGGTGGCATAAAACGTGGTAACAGACGGACGGACAGACCAAGTACGTACTGTAACCCTCGCTGCGCATGCGCGCCGAGGGTTCAAACAAACCTGAAGGTTGTCAATAAACAATCCCAGAAGGGGAGTGACTTTCAATTTCGGCTGACGGCGTACAACCTGCAGCCGTTTGGCTTGGGCGCCCAGCATATACAACAGAAGTTGCCCAAGGTGGCTAGCCTCTTCATTTGCTACAGCCCGAGATGGTCCTGGCTCACATGATCGCCAAGTTCTATCCATCTTATTCTGTATATACAATCATATATATATACATAAAATTGTGCTGGCCAAAGCATATTGTTAGAATATACCTCCGCAACGGCAATGAACCTGTATGGTTGCTCACTGTCAACCGCACTCACATCTGGCTTCCCCTGGGGGAATGATAGACCAGGGCTTTTCAACAGTCTTGTGTATTAAACCGGACACCTCTTGCAGTTAGAGACACCTCTATCTATTCAGGCCACAGGACACTATTCAGGCTACACAGCTCAGCATCATAGATAATTAGAATTTACGAATACAACATTATGGTGGAATGCACACAATGCCATAGAGGATAGATAATTGAAAAATCAGGCAGTTGTACGACTAGGTTGTTCGTTCTTTTAGGCTTTTTTACACCGCACCCACGATAACATACTGGGCCAGCAGACGGGAAGACTAACACAATGCTGTAAAAGCAATTCGACAACTAAACTATTGCTGCATGAGATCTGTGTGACCCAGTTGGCTTGTTCTGTATTGCCAAAAATATCAATATGCATGTATAATTATACACATACCACCAATCGGGTGGGAACCATCTTCTTCTTCCCCTCAGATATACCAAGTTTCACCCTGATCTCCTCACTTGGGTTAGAAGGTTGATGCCTAAAGGAATCCATCACGATTATTATAATAATATATATATATATACAAGTGGGAAATCCTTTGAAAGGGGGGATATAGGGATGGCTTGAAGCACCAAAAAGGAAGAAACAAGGGGTCATTACGCAGCAAAGATGCACAAAAGCTACATGACACCATCCCTATATCTTTGTTCGATATTAAACTTTGCTTAATTAAACAAAGACATAGGGATGGTGTCATGTAGCTTTGTGCAACTTTGGTGCACACATGGTGGTATATCTCTACTTTCACTCTCTTCTGCTTCCATATCAAAGACTTACACGCCGAGGTTCATATTGTGCTGACGGCACAGACCAACGAACCTGACGACCGTCACCATCTCGTGCACCACCTCGTGCACCACCTCTTTTACATGGCCATTATAAAAACCTTTCTTCAAGGCCGTCCCGACGGCCCCGACGAGGGGAATGAGGGCAGGGTCCTATGAAATATGATATGATGTAAATTGGTGCGTTCATAAAAACCCTTTGCAGTGTTTCCCAGGAGGGTAATATTCCAACAGGGTGCTTAATTGCCTCAGCTTTCTGGCTGAACAAACTACTCAGGTTTCAAAGCACTTCCTGTTGGGCAATCCCCTACTGGCTAATAATAATAAGCAGCGCATTACTGGCACACAGTGAAACTGCTCTAGTTCCATTGCATTTTACGCATGCGCAATGATTGTACACGCCCATTTTCAGGATTTTTCAATCCGGGAGGAGCGCCCGATAGTTTTAATGGTGCAGGAAACACTGCCTTTGTTCTTAAATGTAGAGTGTAATATGTGCTGCGTATACATATATACACTTACAATGTATTGCAGGTTGTAGGATGATGTGTGGACCAGATCCCAGTTTATGGCTGTCACTGCTGTCATTAGCCTCGATGCAGCCCATCGTGTACTGCACTCTTGACAGGACCTCAGCCTAAAGTTTGTGACAGCCGATTGGGATCTGGTCACTTTCACGCCAGGAACCGAGTTTCCGAGACAAAAAAACAGTCATTTTCAGAAATTCAACCAACTTCGACATCTTTGAGGGCCACACTACAGGGAGTAAAATATTCATAGTGGTTCAACCAGCAGCCATCATTTATCAGTTTTCAGTTACGTTGGGATGTATTTTCTGTGCACATATAAGCAGGCTCTGATGTAGTTCAATAATGCTCTGCATTTATATACAAAATAGTGGAAATGCTATTCTTTAGGCAAATGTATTGTAGCGTTCAGGAATATTTTTATAGGCAGTCTCGGTGGCAAACTGCTCCCTTGGACGTTTACTGCCTCGCGCTATTCTTGCCTCCTTTTCATTGGCAGTTTCTGTAGCCCGACGTTGTCTTGCCCGCTCTCGATCTCGTAATCGTTTCTGAAAAAGACGAACCTCACTGTCGTGAGGACTTTCGACGGTCAGGCGTTCTGTCTGTCTAACTATGAACAGAAACAGTATCGTTGCTGGACGTATCCAACTGAGCCTCCGTCCCAAAATATAGTTGAAGCGCGTAATATCAGCACATGTGCATAACTATGACGGACGGTGGGTCGTCTATATATATGGGAAAACTCCATCCAAAGAAACCACTACGTAGGCTAGCTCCGCTCGCCTAATTAGTTTGTGTCAATAGAGCCTTAGCATCACTTACGGTCAGGCTCTCGCTCCTCATCGTGTGTCAGGTGCCCGGCTGACGTGTTCAAGTCTGACGAATATAGCGACGATTGGCTGCTACTGTCCGGAGAGTCCATATCCAGGCGAATCTTCTTCCTCTCCAGTCCTTCAGTAACAAAGTGGGCAAACATGAAAACGCTGCAATAAAACCATGGGGCTACTATACTAAACGCTTAAAGGCGCGCGGCAAAGTGAAAAATACCTTACAAATGCTGGATCATAGCACAAGAATTAACACTCACCAGTAGGGATCTCGTTGGATTCACTCATAGTGATAGCTTGCTAGCTAGCTAGCTATCGACGACCGACAGCCAACGACACGCGCGTGGTACCGGGCATGCGCATTCGGCAAGACACCAACGCGTGCGTCGCGTCGCGTGTGTGTGTTCGCGTATATATAAACGTATACAGTGGGCATGGTCGCCCGCCGTCACCGCGAGACCGCCACGTATGCACGCACTGCACGCGCCGCGCCGCCACAGCTCGGTCGTTGGCGCGGCGTCGCGCCATTAACTGCGCATGCACAACTAACTAATTGCGCACGCGCACGCTCGCATGTATGTATACGTGTGCTCATGCGCTAGACTAGACGTCATCGTCGCGGGAATTTTAAAAATTATTAGCGTGCCTGCTCTCGCTCTCTACTCGTGCGTATTTGTATACAACAGTTTTAGTTCTTTAGTTAGAGTCGGAGATGGAGTACTTATTATTCAAGACCATGTCTGTTGTCCATTTTCAAAATGACACTTCTTCAAGATATTATTTTTCTTGGTATAATACATTTTTTGCTAGTAATTAATCTAGTGCAACCTATAAGCTCTGTGTAATTTTCCTTGTAAGAGACATACCTCAAAACATCTGCCTATACTTAGAGTTTGATAGCAACACCTTGTAATATCAAACACATTTTTAAATCCTTATGAACTCATAAAAAAACTAAAAACTATAGTAACAATTGTTGTAGAAGAGGAGAGGGCTAACATTTTTAAAAAAATGCAAAAAATATAGCACTCTATTAATGACTACATAATAAGTTATCGTGAGATAAAAAAATTCTTTGTGGTAAACGACTAAGCGGTTTTAATGGAAACTAACTGAAGAATTGAAGTATTAGCAATTTAAGTTGCATGCAGAAAGTTTTAAACCAAAACCTTATAAGACACCAATGTTATAATGATTTGCATAAGGTAGGTTTATGTGGACCTGGATGGCTGGGTGCAAAGCCCAGTACCGCGCAGTTCGCCGAGGGTTTGCACTGTAGTGCTTTTCATTTTCAAAGTCCTGTTAAACCTCTTCACCATCCCACTGCACTGCGGGTGATGGGTGGTGGTATTCAACTTCTTGGTCCCAAGAAGTTTGCAGACGTCGGTCACGAGGTGTTAGAGCAGTTAGTCCCCCGGTCAGAGAGAAGAGACTCTGGTGCCCCAAACTGGGGTATAACGATTTCATTCACTAACAACTCTGCTAAACGGATCGATTTCTGGTCAGGCATTGGAAACACCATGAGTGTATACTGACATGTTTATCATGGCGTGAGCTAAGAGTCTGTCCGCTACCTGAGAAGGCTGTGAAAGCCGCGGCAGCTGCATCGCTCCTAGAGACCGCCCCACTTCTTTCTTCAGTGTGCTTCTGGTGGATGTGTATATATGTATGGGAGAGGGGAGTTGAGAGTGGGGAGGAGGAGGGAAGGTGAGAAAGAAAGGATAGCAGTGTGGGAAGAAGGATTAGAAAGAGAGAAGGGAGACAGAGAGTTAAGTGGGGGGGAGGGAAGAAAAGGCAGAGGAAGGACGCAAAGGAGAGAAAAGAGGGAGGTAGTGTAAAGATAGAATCTCACGGGGGCTTCCTCCTTTCTTGCATATGACACCCGCTGCAACCTTGTCATGCATGAGTCACTCCAAAACTTGTGGCAAGCACGTAAGTGTGACCCCTCAGTAACAGTTTGTGTCAAGACGGTCTTTGCTCCTCCTCTATGAACCGGTGTTTTATTTTGAGGGAGTTTGGTATGTGTTCCAGTTCTGTGATAGTATGTAGAATCCAGTCTTGACACTAGCAGTGTGGTTATGAGTGATTATAGTTCCTGACCACACTGCTATTTGGTCCATTCCTAGAGTACTCTATAAGGCATTTCAGAGTACTCATGCCTTGCTACTACTTCATATGACCACACCATGTCCAGGTAATTAAGATGCCTCACAACATATGTGACTTTTTCTGTCTTAATTTGTGAGGGTGTAGTTCACAGTATAGCCAATCGTGTGGTCTATAACTGACCAAACCAGAAAATTCTATATGAAGTACAACACATGCTGAAATAGCAGTTGTGTTTCTAGGCGACTTTTCAATCAGGGAAATTCGTGTGCTGGCCTCCTACAGTGCTGCTAGTTCTTTGCATAGTAGTCTGTGCCGGTCAGGAGAATGACGAAATAGTGACTGCTAGTGTACTCAGGAGGGAGTTGAATAGGGCTAGACATGCCATGACAACCACAATCTTCAAACTCTTTAATCCCGGCTATACTCCAAGTCACCCTGCCTCCTCCTGCAATGAGATCCTCAACAGGGCCCCACAGTCTCCCTCAGGTCTCTACTGGCTCAGGGGAACCAACAACAGACCCAGACAAATGTACTGTGACATGGAGAGGAGCTGCAAAGATGTAGCTGGAGGCTGGATGAGGGTGGCTTCTATCAACATGACTGACACTAGCAGTACCTGTCTATCTGGTCTGAAGACCCTCACCAGTCCTCGCAGACTGTGTGCTATGAACATTGATGGTGGTGGATGCTCTTCAGTCATGCTGCCAGTACAAGGAGTAGAGTACTCTCAAGTGTGTGGCAAGATCATTGGATACCAGGACAAAAGCATTCGGAGGTGGGGGTGCAGCGATTGACGTCAAATATGTTGATGGAATCAGCCTAACGTACGGACCAAGTCCACGCAATCAGATCTGGACATTTGCTGCCGCACTTAACGGGTACAACAATAGTAGACTATCTGTTTGTCCCTGCACAGACACACGTACCAGTCCACCTCCTGTGGTGCCCAGCTATGTTGGAGACGACTACTTCTGTGACACTGGCAGTGAGAACAACTTGCAGTCCATCTTCTATGGAGATGACCCTCTCTGGGATGGTGCTGGATGTGGTGAGTACAACACCTGCTGTGAATTCAACTCTCCACCATGGTTCAGGAAAGAGATCTCTCCTCCAATCAGTGATGACATCGAGATGAGGCTGTGTGCTACTGGGAATCGATTCCAGGGAGACATGAACTTTGAGACTCTGGAGATCTATGTGCAATGATTGACCATCGTCATTGTTGCAATAATCAGTTTGTAGCATACGTAATCTAATATGTATACCAGTTAAATGATGATGGATTGAGTACATGTTATGAGTAAGACTGTGAGAAACCACTTTTGAGACATTTTAGTCGGCTGTAAGCTAATTAGTAACCACCTGTCCTTTAACCGTTTACTGGAATGAGCTGACACAAAGGTTGCAGTGCAGCGAAGCTTATGTGTTGCAGTTTTAGTAAACACTGCTGTGTGACAGCTGGCTGTGGGCAGTCAGATGGAAGCTTGATGAGGAGGATGGATGAGGTTTGCTTGTGTTGTATTGTGTTGTGGATTTGACCCCTGACCAGTTGAGTTGCCTTGTAGCTCAGTTGGTAGAGTGCTTGCTTAGACTGCAGAGTGAAGTGGTGGGTTCAAATCCTGAGTACCTTATTCTGCTCTTATTGGCATGCTTAGCCTTGCAACCACTTCATTATGACCACACAATCTCCAGGTAATTGATATCCCTGCCTGAATCCTCGCATTACAGAGAGAGCAAACAACAGGCTCAGGGCAGCATTCAAGTCCAACAGGTTCATCTGCAACTTCAACGTAAGACACTGGAAGCAAATGAGCAGCAAACACACATTGCAGAGTTAGAAAGCATGGTGGGCGAGAAGGATATGCAGCTTCAGGCCTATAGTAGGCAGCTTCATGAACTACACCAAACACCATTTGGGAGAATAATAAGCAAGTACATGGGAAACTACAGGCAAAAGATAGGCAACTTCAACAAAACCAGCAAGCAATTGCCACCAGGGACCAGGCATTAGAAAGGAAAGACAAAGAGTTGCAACAGATACAGCAGCTAGTAGCTGAGTTTCAGAATAGCCTCCAGCAGAAAGAGGAGACCATCACTGACCTCCAGCAGACCATATCGGACCACGAGAGAAAGATTCAACAACTGCAAGAGCAGGGAGACAGGGTCCAACCACAACAACAGTCAGTCACCACACCAAAGAAGGCAGTAACAGCAGCTCTGAGGGATATCAGCAGCATGAGGTGGAGGAGGGAAAGAATGCACCAGAGGAAATGTACAGGGGAGATGCAGTAGTGCAACGGGAGTATAGCCTACTTTGGACCGTGGTATGGTTCACGCAAAGTGTACTCGTATCAGAAAGTAACCGGGAAAGAATCGTGGTCTCAGCTACCAGACAACCCTAATGAGGGTTTTGGTCTGGCAGTATTGATGGTCTCTTCACCAGTGTGGGTGGTTGGAACAGCGGTCAACCCACCGACGCTCTCCTCAGTCTCACTGGAAAATGGTGGAGGAAACAGTGGTCTCAGCTCTTGCCTCCCATGCCTACACCACGTAGAAGCACAGTTTGTGTCACTACCAAACAGGCTCTAGTTGTGACTGGAGGATACGGAATAAGTGATGATTACCTGGACACTGTAGGGGTAATGAACTCTAACCCTAAGTCATGGACCAAAGTCGCTTCTCTCGCCGAACGTAGTATTTCATTGACTTCTGCTGTCTTGAGGAGATAGACTTTACTTGGAGGGAGGAGTAACGGGTGCCCGCAGTCCATCAAAGTCAGTCTTTTCCTGTTCTCTTCCTGATCTCTTGACACCCAACACCCTAGGACCTGGTCAGAATGTGTATGGAAGAATGTCAGCAGTTTACCAGTGACCATGATCCTAGTCTCATTTGGTGGACACCTACTTGCTATTAGTGGGAGAGATAACTTTGACAACCCCACCTCGGACGTCTATGGATATGACTATCACACTGACTCTTGGAGTGTGGCTAGTCAGATGAAGAACAGGCAGTCGTTCTGCTTTTCATACAGTGTTCCTGAGGACCATCTCATTGTATTGGGAGGATGTACATACTTTCAAAAGAGGACCAACATCCTACGTTCTAAGTCAGAGTGTTGAGATCTTGGAGTGCACCATAACCGAACTATAGGCTCTTGACACATTAGTATATATGCTAAGTTGTGCACATGATAATAATATGTTGCTGTTATGCGGCAGCATAGAAATTCACTGTGGCCCAGAACCTAGTGCACACGCAGAGTGAGAGTGCACTGCACAATAGCAGTTGTTGAGGTTTGCCTTTGTCTTGTGTTGTGTTGTGGTTTGAATCCCTACCTCCTGCGTTTCACTGGTAGTTACTCGGTTGGTAGAGCACTCACCTATACAGCAGAGTATGGTTGTGTTGTTTGCCTTTGCTTTGCTTTGACTTCGTTAATGAAATGTGCAGTGATATGGAAACTATGGAATACAGCATACCCGTTACGGAAAGTGGTCTGTGGACCAGAGACTACCTGCACCATGGTTAGCTATATTTTACAGCAGAGCATGGCTAATTGTTGAATAATTGGGGCCAAACCAGCAGGTGCATTCACTGCATGTTTCATCAAATGAAGGGGGTGGGGTGTATGGGGTGTTACGTCATGAAGAAGGGGAACAAGAAGGTGCCTACACCGAGACAGAAAGTCATTCGTAACACTACCCCTGAATCTTGTTACCGATTCCCTTGGTGCGAAGCATTGAATCGTGGGGTTAGGCCCACTATGCAGCCATTTTACTAGTTAAGCACCCAGATTCAAAAATGTACATCTACTGAATTAGCCTGCTTTGTAGGGAAAACTTCTTGGTTGACAGGCAGGGCCGGGAAGCTTGGAGATGAGTTGTTGCCTGGGTCCGAGTGCCACATGGCATGTAGGCGCAGTTGTGACGTAATGCTCGAGGGTGGCGTGCCCAAGGGTTTTATGTTACAACTGTGCCAACATAGCCACAGCAGCTTAGGAATACTACTAATAGCCCAGCCCATCAATTAGCGGTACCGCGCATGCGCAGTTCGCCGAGGGTTTGCACTTTAGTGCTTTTCATTATCATAGGAATAGTGCAACAAGCTACACAGGAACAACCTTGTGTACAAAGTTGTCTGCCTATAGTATGGCGAATTTTCAGACCTTTACTATGTAATGCTGTGCTTAAAATCTTGACATGTTTTTTCTGTAACATATTGTGAGGTATATCTTTATTGTATCTCCAGGTTATGAGTCAGTCAGTGAGCCATACTGACATCACTAGTAGTGGTGTAGTTGCTGCTAGGATCGTAGCCCCCAATCACCACTAGTTTCTCACCAACCACCAGATCATCTCCGACGACACAAACAACAGACTTGCTCCACAGGGAGGCCGAAGAGATTGTGTCCATCACCTTTACCCAGCCGCGTCCCTCGCACAGGTGGTAAAGACCATCGCTGCTCGCGCAGACTACGTTTCTGTTGAACGTGGCGAGGGTCGGCTCGCCTTGAACCAGGAGGGCAGGCTGGTTCTTCCACTTGTGGTAAGGGTTATTTGCAAACGACACGAGTGAGGTAGTGTCCATTGAATAGGTGGACCCACCACCGTCCATGACAATGTACTGGTTGTCGCAGATTGCGGTGGTGATGCTGTAAAACGGCTTGGGGAGGGGGACGAGGCTGAACCAGTGTCCCGTGTGAATGGAATAGATCTCCACCATGGACAGGTCACTGTCCCAGGATCCCGCGGCGACAATGATGTAGTTTCCACCCAGGTTTTGCACTGACGGGAAAGTATGGGGATGCTTCATCGGTGGCAGTTCGTGTGTCCACTCCCTGTTTTTGAAGCTGGTCAGTTTGGCCGTGCTCTGGCCATTCAGTTGTCCTCCGACGGCAATCAGTACGCTTTTGACAAACACGAGCCCGGGGTTGATGTGGGGGCAGACAATTGACAGTGGACTCCACTCGTCAGTTCTTGCAGAGTAGCAGTGGATCATGTTGAAATTCTCACCAACCACGTACACAGTCTGGCCGTAGACTGCAGCTGCTCCCCTCACCATAGCTTGCGGAGCCTTGCGCTTTTTCCTCCACTCTAGACAACTCAGCTGCCAAATTATATAGGATTTAATAGTGAGAGAAATTTCATATTATCGTCTATACTCACCACTGATCTTGGTTCTCTAGTGGCTGTGGACTTTTGTTCTTCAGCTGGCTGTTGGCCACTCTCCCACAGTGCCTGCCTGAGTGTCTCGTTTGGCTCAACCTGTAAGTCACCTCTAGTAGCCCCTGCTGATGGTCGTTTAAGGCCTGATGGGTAAAGAATTGCAGCAACCTTCACAAATATACTCTCTAAATAAGGGATACCTCTCTAGTAAGTATAATTGTTCCACTCAAAAATAATTGATGACATCTGAATAAGGGATGCTTCTTAAGGACATTTGATGTCCGCAAGGTGTCCCTTATTTGATCAATGCACATACCTGGAGGGAGGGGAGGGGGGTTTGGTTGACTGTGTTTTTCTAGGGGACAACAAGGTGAAGAGTGTCTTCAGTTGTGGGTTGTCAATCTTCAGTAGCCTGTGGAAGGCCTCGTATTCCCTGATAGCCATATCTGACGTCTCCTTTAGATTTATAACCTGGAACTGAATTGAAATTGTAAGTGATCAAATACCCTTGGAAACCATCTTGACTGAAAGAGCTATAGCTTAAGTTATTCTCACTTATAACAGGTTGATTTTCATACCTTACAATTATTATGCCTACAAGTGGAAAAATCATTTCTTCAAAATGAAAGTAGGATATAGGGATGATTTGAAGCGCCAAAAAGGAAGAAACAAGGGGTCATTACACACCAAATATGCACAAAGCCACATGACACCATCCCTATATATATCCTTGTCTCATATTAAACTTTGCTTATGAACAATAAAACAAAGATATAGGGATGGTGTCATGTGGCTTTGAAATCAACACGGAACTGAAGGTGGTAGAATCGCAGGATTGAATTCCTTTCATGTCTATCAACCAGTCTACACAGATTATCAGTATCCGGCATACTAGTCAAGAGGAGGAGCCGTCTGCTGCCAATGGTTGAGAAACTTAAACCCAGGAACTGAGGTATGGGCTTACAGCAGGGAAAACTGGTGTTCGTTACTGGTAAACTTTTTTCAGCCATAAAATGTACAACCGACTGGCTTAATATACTGTAACAGTCAGTTGAGACTTACATAGAACTCTTGTTTTGCTCCTTCTGTACAAAGAGTCACTTCAAACATCTTACCTTCACTTCCTGCAGGTATTGGTCGTGGGACACATTGGCTGCAGTTTGCTGCATTAGGTAGTCATCTAGAACTCTGTAGTTCATATTCAGCAGCAGTCGCATGTCGTTTACACTTTCTCTCATTTCTTCCACTCTCTCTGACTTCTTTTCTAGCTCACCCTCGACCCTCCGCAGGTCTTCTTTCAGAGCTGGAATCTGCACGTTTGTCTCCTCAAGCTCTTTTTCAAAGGCTTCAAGCCTGTGCTTAAGCTGTGAAATCTTCCTCTCTTTCTCGTCGATGCTCTGCCTCTTGAGCGCAATTTCCTCCATTTGCTCTGTGGTGGTCTGGTACAACGAGTTGAACTCAAACTGAATAACTTTGAGGGCTTTCTTCATGTCGTCTTTCTCACTCAGCAGCTCCCTAATTCGAGACTGGCGCTTTGATAGTGTGTGTTTTAGTTTTTCTATCTGTCGCGCAGCTCTCCGTCTCTCTTTCTCTGCTGCCTGCAAACTGCGGTTGCGCTCGGCTATCTCTCTCACTCGTTTGTCCCGGTCACATTTCAGCTCAGCGATGATGGCACTCAGAGTAGCAATCAGATCCATATTGGACTGTTCCTCCTGGTTTAAAGATTATGAGCATTATAAGCACAAGAACTCACATCGTTATGCCAATGTGTGTACACTGACCTTGAGTATAGGTGATGTGACTGCACTAGCCTGCTTTCTCTGTGGTAGAGGAACGCCTGCACAGTGTGACGGAAGTGTTAAAGGGAATGTGGCAGTATATAAGGGCTAAAAATTAGAAATGTTACTAAAGATAGACTTAAACAATAGGGCCCAGTGCAAGAATGCAATTTAGTTTGCAGTTTCTAATTATAAATTTAGCCCTTAGCTACTATACTGCTACGGTCCCTATAATCACAATGCAATGTGTTATGTCGGCATTCTGACCGTAATGGGTGGCAATCGTCTTTGCCAGTTTGTATTGCCCAGACTTGGACAGAGCGTGGACCAGAGTGGACCAAGTGGGAGTCTCTGTGTTGTCCCACCACCAGCTGAGCATGGCACTCCTGCACATGACAGTGTTGCGAGGATTGTCCTGGTAGATGGTGCGTAGCGCTGTGTCTGGTACAAGTAGAGCCAGCCCCAGCTCGTACCAGTTCACCACCTCGTACAACTCGGCATGTAAGACGGCCAAATTAGCTGGACCTGCATCATCATTTCCACAGTGACTGACATGCTACTAAGCAATACGGGATAAGACTCTGGCAAAACCCAACCACAAGTCATCAAGAAGGAATAAGCAACAGATATTCAAGACCAGACAATTAATACTTTTATGACTTGCCTGTATCCTCTGTCTTTTGGTTGGCTCGTGCACGGAAAATGGCCCCAAAATCAAACATGTAGCTCTTACCAAAGAGAGTCATACACTCAGAAAAGTTGGCCCTCGTGACTAGGATTGGCTTTCCGTCCATTTTGTCATAGTCGGGGACGATGAGATAGAGCTTGGGCACGACAATGACGTGGATACTTTCATCAGACGGAGCACTCGCTGCAGATTCTTGGTTATGGAGGTTGGTTCTCATGCGTGTGTTGATCTTCGAGGCAAACTCTTCCCATATTACCCCCTTAGAGCCAAGGAGCTTTTCCAGCTCGTCTTTCGAGGTTCCCCTCAGCTCAAACAGTGGGACCTCCTCACACCAGTAGTTGCTGACACCGTGTAGACCGTGCTGCTGAAGGACACTGTTCACATCAGTCACCAGAGAGTCAAAAGTAACTCTGACTTTCCGGTCTCTGGAGTAGAGTGTCAGCCACCCTTGTTTGTCCACTCCGACTTGTGCCGGCTCACCGTTGACCGTTATCTCCGTCCGCAGGAGGAAGAAAGTCTTGTAGAATGAAGTGTGGATGAGATGTGGGGCTCTCTGCTGGAGTTGTGGAGATGACACACGTACTCGATCCATTCTCGTTCTATTGCAACACTTTAGCTAGATCTAGTAATAGCTGCTTGCATCTTGGACTAACAAACAACTGCATACAGTTGAGGATTTGCTTGTAATATATACAGTAGCACTTGATGGCCATAACACATCTTTAGGGATGTTAACATTGCAGGATTCTATGGCTACAACAAAGATCCATGAATGGAAGATATAGGGCTTAGACTTGTATCCCCTTCCTTCCTTTCTTGTGTTAGCTATCGTACCAGATATAATGCTTTGTTGTCAGGCAGTCGTGTCCAGGGGGAATTTACTGCGTGCTCGGCCTGTGGACCGAGATAGCTAGCTAGTTCCAATGGTGGGTGGCCGTAGGCTTACGACAATAGGCGTGAACAAGTCGTTTTGTGCCAACTGTGTGTCGACACTGGCACACCATGGGCCTCGCGACGCTTCAACAATAACTAATAGGCGATGCCGGCAGGGGCATACCAATAATCGACGTGTCATATTATGCAAACCATCGGCGAACTGCGCATGCGCGATACTGCTAATTGATGGGCTGGGCTAGTTTCTCGTTGTCTCCCACTAGTAGCTCGCGGAGAGTCTGACATGTCTACATGCTATTCGTTGTGACTTCCTGAGCCCCCAAGATACACAGAGCGAGCGGATCAGGTCGCAGTAAGCCCAGTTCGATTACGCATATGGGCTTTTTCGCTTGTTTTCACGGCGAATCTTTCAGGAAAAACGCCTAATATTTTTTTAGCCTCCCGTAGTTCGGTATCGCTCACGGGCCGCCTCGTAGCCTGTAGTGCGAGAATAGCTGCTTTGTGTTTCCTTTTTTCTTGTCGTCTACGGTTCCTCTTTGTGTTTTTTCTCTGTATATTACTTACAATTTATGCTAAAGACAAAAATTCAATATCTATCCTCTTCCATTAGCGGTTTTCCGCGCAGATACGTAGAAATTTATAACGCACGCATCGAAGGTTAGTGTAAAAGTCCTTTCCACTTGCGTTCATGCACAGGTTAGTGAGCTTGCTATCTTGCCGCTTAGCGATGTAACGATTAGTTAGCTATCTAGTTTCTCCAAAGAGGGGGGAATGAAGACTGATACTCTACCTAGTTATCTTTGCTCCATGCTCTATGCACAAAAATTTCGTAGCAAGTTAGCTCCTTACTGGCCACGCCCGCAACGCATGCGCACATCTAAAGTCCCAAAAGAAAATCGCGACCCCGCGGTTCACCGCGCGCATGCTCGAAGCGCTGTATAACAACTGCAACTCGTCAGTGACCCACATCACGCGATCGTTTGCCACGCAAGAAGTGCTATATTCCAGCCCTGATTTTCTCCTGCCAGCTCAATGGCTACCAGCGACGATAGTCCGCCACACGGAAAAACAAAATTGATCCAAAAATGTACCGCAGCACATTTTGGACCGCTCAATACTTCCAGAGAGCTGCAGTCCCACATCGACAACTTTCGTGGTGGCACCTACCGAGTCACAACACCCGTAGATGATGCACTTGTGCTTTATCGTCTGTATGGAGGAGGAGAGGCACAAGCAGTGGGCCAGTACTGGACAGTAGAGCCTCGAAAAGGAAATCTTGGGTATCAGTTAGACTATGCCATGCATCCACAGTGGAATTCGTTATCAGAGAGCGTGAAGCTGCATATTCCACGGGGCATTCTACTTTACGAAGGCTATGCCGGTCCGCAAAAAAGTGGAAGTGGGTCTTTTGGAGGCGGTAATTGGCAAGTATTTATCCCTCGTGAAGTTGTGGAGCCACTTTATAAAGCACAGCAAGCAATAGCTGAAGGCAAACAGCCATCAGAAGTGATGAAATTTCTTCAAGAAGCAATGAGGGCACAAGCATCAATTACGAGTCAATACAATGAACAGGAGACGAAACACTGCGAAGAAGACATGAAAAGTTTCTGTACCCTACAAAAAGCCCAAGAGCTCCTAAAAACAGGAAATGCTCTGCAGCACGTACCACACAACGTACGATCTATGCTGCAATCTGATTCTCCTTCCAGTGCAGCAGATTTGGACCAAACAACCGGAAGTTATGTGGTGCATCGCCAGTTAATTACTCTACGCAATGGAAAAACAGCAACAGCAACCTTAAATGTCCGGTTGGAATTTAGCCATCAGACCGTAACGACGAATGGAAGGGTTACAACAATAACTCGATACTACAATCGTATTTTTGAGTGGGCGTAAACACTTTTCAGACTTTTTGCATATATTATTATAATAAATGCCTCTATTTCACGAAAATATACTGTTTTATCAGAACTGCTTTGATTAATTGGCAAGCCAAGTACAAAAGGTTATGACATGTGACCTATGATTATTATTAAATCTGCAAGCCAAGCACAACTCATACACCATGTGACCTATGATCAACCCACATGCCACAACAGCATTACGTACACCCTATGAATATCAATAATTATGCACAGCAATTGTAGCATGTGTGTGCTGTATAGATGTATATCCATACAACATGACACACTGTGGGGTGCTAACAAAGTATTGTTTATCTAGAGTTTAGCAACATTGAGGACAGTGACATAGGTGGGAAGGTTCTTATTGGTTGAACCAATCACTGGGCCTGCATACACTTATCACAGTTGATAACTACATCACTTCAACAACTCCTTGTGTGTGTAGGGCATGAATATCTAGCTACTTGGTAGTGCCTTATCAGAATAATATACCACGGAAAACATTCAATAATTGTATATAGCATAAGCTTCCACAATGTGCAAGTGTGCATGTGGTGTGTGGGTCTGAACTGGGAGATGATGTTCTCAGTTTGCTGCTGTGGGCAGGTTTATACTGAGCAGACATTGCACACTTGCTGGAAATGATGTGTGCATGCTCTCTTTGAACTCATTGCTACGTAGTAATGTCTGTAGAGTGAAGTTCGAACACACATGCATAAGGATACAGGTGGGATGACTGCTCACTACGGCAGTGTAGCTACTGCAACAAATAGACCTCTGTTCGCCCCATAGTGTTTGGCATCAACCGTATTGATGCATGATAGAAGGTTGCACAAACAGGTTGTCTACCATCTGAGGTTCTCAGGAGAACACAACACATCACGTGATCTCCAGGGAGTCTAAAAAATAATCATGTGTGGCTCTCAGAGGAACATAAATACATTAATTATCTGTATCTCCAGAGAGAACTATACTTAGGCCGGAATGTGTTCTTGCTTCAAGAATACTTATGCTGAGCTCATTCCAAACAGGGATACCACTTTACACTACGCATAGCTGCAGGATGTGACATCAGTATCAGGGAGTCAAAAGTTTGTCCGCCCTGACTTGTGCAGTTTAGCATTGATAGAAGTGATCTTGGAGGATAATTTGCTGCAGTAGCATGGTGGTGCAAATGACACGGCATCAAGAAGCGATGAGGACACAAGCATAAATTATGAGTCAATACAATGAACAGGAGATGAAACACTGCAAAAAAAGACAAGTTTCTGCACCCTACAAAAACCCAGAGTTCTTAAAAAAACAGGAAATGCTCTGCAACACATACCACAAAACATACAATCCATGGCTGCAATCTTATTCTGATTAAGGTTGCCCCTGCAATTGTGAATCACCTACAGACTTCTGTGGATATGCAATCATAATGTGCCTGTATTCCGTGTTATTATTTCATCAAAACCTCTATACAAGCAGAGGAACGTCCTATATGACAAGCGATTCAATCCCATAAGCCGAGCACATAATTATATAGCCCTTGTCATATCCGCACGCGGTCATTATTATTATTGCCTGGTGTAATGCGGGATTGAACCTGCACTGCCGCACTGCACAGATGCGCGAAACTGTTCGCTCGCGTTGCATTGGCATGCAGGTGGATTTGTTGTCGCAGGCGGAGATGACACTGTGGTGATGAAATCGATATCGCGCGATGCTTAATGTAGACGCATGCGCACTTGACGACCATGGCGGCTGGCATGACCTGCGGCTGCACCTAGCTTTCCTGTGACATCATTGCATGCACGCACAAGAAATTAAGAACTCCATGCGCACGCTATTTTACGCAGAAACTGCTTTGCGGAATTTATAAAGAAACCGTGGTGAGACTATGTTTCATCCAAAATGGCCAGGTATTTTATTATAAATGTGTGTAGCTACCCTTGCCCTTTTAAGATCAAAGCTAGCTACCAGTCAAAATGCATTGTTTTTCTTAGTGTGTTGTGTTTGATTGGCTGCTGGCTTAATGCCCCAAGTCCTTCAGCACAGCTTTACCTTTTTTCTGTTATAACTGGTATCAACTACCTACTAAAATGTAAAAGCATGACATTACTATTACTTTTGCTCTGCAGTGTTTGCTGTATTCATCGTCCCCAATCACTGATTTTAGCATTATTAATAACGATCATGGTTGGAGTAGAATTATTGCACTGCGCAAGAGCAATAACATTGGTCATAAGATACACAAGGCCTTCGATGTCATGTCATATGAACACTACTGCCACTGCTCAAACACAAGATAAGGTAACAGACACTGCACACCTACTTACGGCAGCTATGTACGGGTTGTGTTCTATTCTAAGGATCATGGAGTACATGCCCATCTTTATTCAACTGTTCCTGTGGTATAAAGATAAGAATCTTCAGTTTCAGTGCCAGATGTGTTGGACACTGAGGATTTTTCGAAGCCTCCCCGTGTCTTGATCTTTATAATTCTTGTTTTCGCTGCCTGTCTAGGCTTGACTATCCCAGTTGTTGGAACAGCAGTCGAATTTCATAATGGGAAAAGGGAAGGGTGTGGTGTTACCACCTCGTTTTCTTTTTATATCTACTGCTTCTTCAACATCTTTCGCTATGCATGGGCTTATAACATTAGAGCTGCGATGGTAATTTCCACATTGACCATTAAAAAGATCTGGGAAGAAGTTCCAAAACATGATGGTGGCATGACTGCCATTAGACTGCATGCTTCACTGACAGATCAATATGTGGAAGCAGGAGAGAGAGTTAAAAGGATAAATGAAGTGTTTCAGGCATGGTTTCTCTTTCCATGGGTTATATTTTTTATTGCCAGCTCGGTGGATGCAAAGAACACTGTAGCCATATGGGATGAAGACAAGGATAAAGTCGAAAATCTCCCAATGATATACCTACTCCTTTACAACATTAACCAAATTCTGCTACTTCTGATACCCTACATGTGCGGGCGGAAAATAAATCATTACAATCGCCTCTGCGTCATTAAAATTCAAGATATACAACTGAAGCGTACACGGAGTGATAGATTCAGAGCTCAACAGCGAAAAATGCTGATACAAAGAGAGGATATGTTTGATTTTGTTCCATGTGTTTGGGGGTTGGGTTTCAAAGTTAAAATGAACAGTTTAATATACATTGTCTTTCTTTTATTAGGAATATTTCTTACTATATTTAATGCACTGCTTTAGCGGTTGTTTTCTTCAAAAAGTGTTGACTATAAATGCTAAGTCTGTTTATGCAATAAGTTGCATTGTCAGCTAAACATCATCACATCGTCGTACTCATTTAACTCCATATGAGGCTATCGGGGAAGTTCCATACACTCACTGTTGTACCGTTTGAACATTCTTCTGGTGTCACAAGACTGCTGCAATAACTTTCATTTTCTGGTTTGGGGTGTTTATGGTGGGACTTATAGCAGTTATGTGTGAAAACACAAACACTGTATAATTATACACTGCCTAAGATTATGTTAACATTCTGTGTATTATTAGTGCGCCTATAAAAAAAAAAAGAGTTATCATGTGTGGCTCTCAGGGGAACTTCAATACACTCATTTTCTCCCGGGAGTCTCAATATTAATCATGTGTGGCTCTCAGGGGGACTTACTCATGTCTGTATCTTCAGGAAGTCTAATCACGTGTGCATCTGATATTAAGGGAATGTGACAATATTATATGGACTAAATTTAGAAATGTTACTAAAAACAGCATTCTTTCACTGTGCCCCTAACATTTCTAAATACAGCCCATTTAAACTGCAACATTCCCTTGGAATAGTAAGTGGGGCTTTCATTTACCTAATGCACGTGTTAATGGTGGAGGTTGCCTTTGTCATTCAGTAATCAACTTTCTATATAATATTATGTTGTTTAACAACAGAGATTATGAAGTATCTTAAAGAGAGACGGTTAGAGATTATTGACAGTGCTATAATTATGGTGCCACCCCATACAAGAACATGGCAAGTGAACCCGAGTGCAAAATGTCAGCGGTTATACAAGTATTAGTAGAACATTTTGATATGGAGACTATTTACTATAAGCGTTCACTCTTTAGACTAGGTGTGTTGCTTCAATAACTATCTCTTGTCGCATCTCTCCGATTGTGCTACAGACTGGATGAGCTCAAAACATAGCGGTGTTCCAATGTTTTGAGCTCATTCAAAACTGTGGGATCTCCTCACACTAGTACTATGCGTAGCTGCACGATGTCATTCACGTCAGTCACCATGGAATCAAAAGTCACTCCGACTTCAGAGCTGATCAGTGTCAGCCACCCTTGTTTGTCCACCCTGACTTGCATAGTTCACAATTGATAGTAGTGATCTTGGAGGGAAAATCAATGGGATTTGCTGTAGTAGATAATGTGGTGCAAATGACACTTTACTGGAGATACTCTGCAGCAGTCTTGAGAAAAAAAGGCAAGCCAAGATTCTGAGACTAGCATGATGGAAACAGAGGCACAAAGCTATACTGAAACTGCATGTCTGTGGTGTCTCTATACCTGTGTACATGTAATGCTACTGGCATTCTATAGCTTACGTATGTGTGTGACCTAACACCATTCTACTGTCGTTTCTGCTTTTGCTTTCTGTGTACATTTTTAAAAGGTTGGCATATCCCACCTCACATGGAACAAGCCTCTCCCACCCGAAATATGTGCAATATTATCCTAAAAAACATTATTTTATACATGAAAGTTAAAAAACAGAGCTACACTATATAATTATCATACAATGACACCACAGCAACTAGAGTACAATAATACATGTAGTATAGCAGATTGTTGAGACTCAAATATTATTGTTATGCAAGACTCGGTCAAAACATTACTCAATCCGTAATCCAGGAAGATAATTCTATAGAGTTTTGTAAGGACTAGCTCCAGTGATAGCATAATGATGAATGGGCTGTACAGGAGGCGTCAGACAACTGGACTGCTCAACACACACAAGACGGCGAGCGGTCTGTCACACCGAACGTCTATTTGCTCTAATAGTATATTGTTGTTGTTGTCGTTGCTGCCTATTGTAGCCTAATCAAGTTGATCATACATGCCTTCCCCTGTTTGGTGTATCTCATCATGTAGCTAAGCACACCCAGCCATGACTTAGTTCATACTGCTCTCTTGTCAAATTGACACAAATACTTATATGGGTCCGCTTGCTCTGTGTATCTTGAAGGCACGAGAAGTCACAACGAAGGGCGTGTATCGACTCCCACATGCTATCTACTACTGTAGCTAGCCCGTGTCAGCGGGAGACCACGAGTATACTACATACTAATAGCAGCCCAGCCCATCAATTAGCGGTACCGCGCATGCCCAGTTCGCCGAGGATTTGCACTTTAATTAACCATCGGCGCGCATGCGCATCGAGGGTTACTGTAGTTGGGTTTGTCTGTCTGTCTGTTACTCTCAATCTCACTTCTCGAGTGTCTGTTCGTCTCACAAAGGATACAACCCGCTTAACGGGCAACGAAGATCAGAATATATGTGGGGTTTTCTCTGAAAATGCTCCGTTGCAGAGCTAGAGCGCGAAAAAGCCAATATGCAAATACGCAACGGACGGGAAGGCTTACCGCGGTCTGATCGATCCGCGTTTTCTGGGTACCTCCGAGTCTAGTAGTTTAGTTAGCCCGCGTCAGACTCTGCGCGAGCTGGCAAGAGACCATGAGTAACAGCTAAAACTAAACCCAGCCCATCGATTAGTGATACAGCGCATGGGTTTACTCACGCGTGCGCGTCACAATGCGCCGAGGGTTTGCACCTCAGTGCTTTTCATTATTGTTATGCAAGACTCAGATTACTCAATCCGTAATCCTGGAAGATAATTCTATAGAGTTTTGTAAGGACTAGCTCCTGTGATAGCATAATGATGAATAGGCTATACAGGAGGCGTCAGACGACTGGACTGCTCAACACACACAAACGGGGAGTGGTCTGTCACACCGAACGTCTATTTGCTCTAATAGTATTATTGTTGTTGTTGTCGTTGCTGCCTATTGTAGCGTAATCAAGTTGATCATGAAATACCTTCCCACATGCCTTCCCCTGTTTGGTGTATCTCATCATGTAAGCACACCCAGCCATGACTTAGTTCATACTGCTCTCTTGTCAAATTGACACAAATACTTACATAGCTATGTGGCATCAGTCAGCCTTGGCCTGCCCAACTGTGCACCACCAATAGTGGGCTACTTGTAGAATTCAAGATGTAAAGGCCGTGATACACGATGCAACCTTTGTCTGTGAGACAAAGGTTGCATGCAACTTCAATATGTTTATAGTAAATAGTTTCCATATCAAAGTAATACTCGTATAACAGCTGAAATTTTGCACTTGCTATGTTCTTGAATGGGGTGGCATTATGCACCGTCAATAAACTTTAACCATCCCTCTTCCAGATGCTTCATAATCCTTTCTTCCCCTGTTTATTGATGTTGATTACTGACTGACAAAGGTCAGCTACCACCATCAACACACATGTTACTTACTATTTCAACATCAGATATATACACACGTGATTGTTATCAAGACTCTCTGCAGATACAGATATGAATGTATTGAAGTTCCCCTGGGAGCCACACACGTTTAAATTTGGTATATACACATGATAAATTTTGAGACAGCAAGATGATTAATTAATGACACGTGTGTAGCTATTTGTGTCAATTTAACAATAAACTAAGTAATGGCTTGCTGTTAAACAAAAATTAACAGAGTTGGGCAGGACAAGGCTGATTAACGACACGTGTGTAGATATTTTGTGTCAATTTAACAATTATACTAAGAATGGCTTGCTGTTGTAATAGGGGAAGGCTGATAGAAGGTATTTCATAAGCTCAACCTGATTACGCTACAATAAGCAGTACCTGGGCCTGCCCTTCTTACAAATAGCTGATAGTTTGTTGTTGGCCTTAGAATGTATGGATACACTAGAATAGCAATTTTAAAAGTGCACCCAGTATTAGAATAGCTAGTATATTATACGAAAACACAAATAGAGGTGGTGACATGAAATGTTTTGATATGTTATTGCTTCATAAGGCCAAAGCCTGATTGTTTTGTTGGACATGTTTACCAGCAATGGATCCGTTCCAGAGTCGCCACGTCTCACGCTGATCTATTTTAAACGATACGTTTATTCTTATTACGCGTGCATACAACTGTGCACTAAATAGAATCATTGCAAAGCCGCTCTGAAGCTCATGAGCCTGGTCTGCGCGTAGGTTTTTGTTCTTTCTTTCCAGATTTTATTTTTCTATTAATTTTTGTCTATTTGTCAATATTCATTATAATACAGAGATTTTTACCGCCTCTTTCTTTTTTTTACTTTTCTTTTTCATTGAGATCAGTTCTTTCTATTTACACAAATATTTATATTTTCTACTGCCTCCCTGTCATTGTGATTGTTTGTCATTGGGTTTGGACACTAGGTATGTGGGGAGAGTTGGCATGCCATAAAAGACTCTTTAACCCACCGCCCCAGTTCTCAAGGCTGGGCACCTGGTATCCTACCTTGTAGTCCAACTTCAAACAACCCGGTGCTAGGATATATACGCTGTATTCTGAGCTGTGGGCTGCGGGCTGCACTGGTATCAGTATTGGACAGGAAGTCCTTATCACAACATCTAGCGCTAGGCGTAGTGCAAATTGTCTGGCTTCCAAAGTTTACACAACAGTCATTTGTGCAGGATGACGCAGCAGAAAGACGCAGCATTGTTTTGACTACAAATCAGTTAACGTCAGGCGTCTCGGCGCGTACAGGAAATCCTCCTCGGCTGTTAACTATACCGGCCTCGGGGATATGCCCTCGTCCGGTATAGTCAACAGCCTCGGAGTATATCCTGTATATACCGCCTCGCCGCCTATACGTTAACTAATATACTTGTTGTGTGCAACTGTGTTGTTTGTGTCTGTGTATATACGTACTTGGGTGGAGGATAGGGGGGTGGAGGGTGACTTCTGGTTTTCTATTCTCTGTGGCTGGTATGCTATAAATTAATTACTTTTCATGAACATTCAGGCCATTGCAATGAAGTCGAGGAACCCTATAAGCTAAGGGTTGTATAGTTCCAACTGCATGCAGGTAGCTATAGCTACCCATGGTGGCTGGAGGAGACACTAAGTTGGGAAATACACAAGCCCGGTCACAATACGATAGAAGGTGTATACATCAACACAAAAACAACCTCCTGTTCTGAAGTGATGATAAGCCAATTTTAAATGGGCTTCGTGATAGTCTATTGCAAGCTGCTGTTTCCTGATGGGGATTCTAGACTTGTGCCACACACTCGAGGTTGAACAAGAGCCACGTAAAGTAGTCCAGTTATGCTGGATTTGTGAGCGAGAGTGAGGCAACCTACTCTTTGTAACGGAAATTTGCCCCCCATGAAAGACAGAAGTGGTAGCCCTGCATTCGGAAGTATGCACACCCTACCTATACATGCTTGGATGCTATACACTATAATTTCCTCTACAAACTATACACCTCAAAACATGTGCATAAGAGCCAAGACAGCATGTTCTTGTTATAACAGGGTGCACCCAATGTCTTGCGGAGAGCTTTGGGGATATCTCGTGGACTAGTTAGAGCTAGAGGAAACACTTGGAGAACTGGCTGAACCACCCTGACTACATCATTCTCAGAAATGAAGATGAAAACTATAGTCCTCCTTTCTGTGCGGGCACGACGTGCACCATCACACGCAACAGAGGTACCAATCTATAATGCTCCCCGTGAAAGCGCTGCAGTTGGGTCGCTTACGCTCGCATCATTGCGGACAACGCGCGCATGCGCGAAATTATTGCCGTTCTCGCAGCGTACGACTTATTGCGCCATTGCAGGAGATGGTCGTCCTACTAGTTGCTCTGTTGAGTCTGTGTTCTTGGATCACACTAAATGTAGATGGTAAGACGCTTAGATCTAACAGCAAAGGCCGCCGCCTGGCAAGGCCGAGAACTAGTAGTCCGCGCAGATTTTTTATAAGCTAATCGTCTGTCACTGTTCATACTCACTGCAGGTGTGACCATTGCATTCAATGGCGTGCCCATTCCAAGTAACAACATATCGAGGATCAGTGTGTATGACTTTAAAGTTGTAGCTAGTGATAATTATGTGTCCAGCAGCGCTCTCAACTGTCAGTCTGAACTGACCATAGGCTACGTCGAGACAGTAACATCTGCATGCTTAGTTGGTGATGGAGATAGTCCAGTCAGTTGTGATATCGATCAGGAAATAAATCCTGATGGTGAAAATATTCGAGGATGGAATGAAAACGGAGATTTTCTCGTCATCATCGACAGAGGTATTTTTAATTTATACAACACTTTGTAAGGAGAGTAGAGGAAAACCCAGAGGAAGGATACTTCAACTGTCATATGGAACATGACGTGCACCCCTTGTTAGGACTGTACATCCTCTACCCCAGTGAGTGGCCATTTCTCATGTAATAAAAAATCATGTGAAATAAAGAGGGATGGTAAAAAAAGGAAAGTAGGGATGGGATAAATGAAGGATGGTTTTTGAGCACGCTGACACCCCAACCCCATCATAAAATCTTTATGAAATTGTTGCCAGGTGTGCCCCTCTTCAACTTGTGTAGAGTGAGTTTGTGAGTGTTTATACCCTGGTCACGTGAGATTTCATCCGCCTAATCCCTACATAGAGTGTCTACCGACGCTCTGATAGTGTGCTCTCTTCTAGTCACTGCAGTAAATGTGGATATTGAGTTTGAGGCAGGGACATCAACATTTAGAGTGAGGTGAGGTGTACCTCCACTGGTGGGAGAGCTCTGAACATGACTGTCTCTGGACCTAATGGATACAACTCTGACCTCTCCAGCTACATACAGCCAGTAGGTAGTAGGAGATTCCGCGGCAGTGACATGTACACTGCCAGTATTGATGTCGCACCCAGAGATGGAGGAGTATACCAGTGCAATGTCACTAGTGTTGACTCAAGAACTGACAATGTAACTGTAAGAGGTGAAGGAGTTATTCTGTATTGACAGTAATACATGTCTCTACAACTGCAGTTGCAACTCCCACCATCACTTCACTGGAGAAAACAGGTCTCTCTACTGTCAGAGTGACCTGGACTCCACCACAGTACCCAGTGACTGGATACAAAGTGAAATACCTTGCGAGTGAAAGTGGTACCAGTTCGATTAAGACTCTTGGTTCAGACGCCACTAGTACCAACATCACTGGTCTCAAAAATGAAGAGACCTACATATTCTCAGTGGAAGCTATTTCACAGTCTTCCAGTGTTGTATCTGGAGTGTCTGAGGAGATGAATATCACATTAGGTACGACTTTTTTCAGCCCACCACAACTAACACATTCTCACAAGCTCTGTTTATGTATCAATATCTTACCCCCTCATTTTGCCAATGTTGAATTTGGTACCAATCGCAGAAGTAGATTAAAAATGGGTGGAGTTGTGAGTAAACAGGCAGTTGTGAAGCAGCTTAAAATGTAGTCAATAACACAGGTTTCAGGCTGTTACACTTCATCAAATGCACTCTTAGCTCTTTAACAACGTAGTAATGAGCACCCTTTTGTTGACAGGTGGTGTACCACCAGGCAATGGTTTTGCCCCTAGCAATGCTACGCCTGTTGATGATTTGTCACTGAACTCAGAGGATAATGTGACAGTTTACATTGCCGTCCCAGTCGTCCTGGGTAGTTTGACTTTATTCGGCATATTATTTGGTGCTATAATAATATACTTCAAGTGCACCAAAGAATCACCGGAACAGCTCCAAACAGACAGCGAAAGGTATAATTGAGACATTTAATACCTATGCCTTCTCTATATTCTTCCTCATTAGCTCACATGCTAAAGCTGATAGCTGATAGGGATGAAAACTGCTACGTTGTGTGGTAGCCATTATGTCAACGTTATTAATCATGCTAAACCACTATATATGCGTTTTATTACCAACAAAATGGAGTAACACGTCGAGTACACTGGCTAACTATATCCTGGCATTATCATGTGGCGGCAGTGTATACAATTACTCCGATTGACCGACAGTACCGCTCAGATGCAAGGTATAACGGAAGTGTGTGTCACGAGTTAAAGGAGGGAGAAGATTTTCATCACATGATACGTGGCACAAAAGATGTCAATCGCATAAGCTATACACAGAATTTATATGTACTCGTGACGCAAGGTGACGTTTGTGCCACGTATCACAGGATGAATATCTTCCTTGCCTTCTAACAGCTTTGCGCGTGGTTCAAAGGTCATGTGTATATTATAGTTGCGGGGAGGAGGGAGAAGGCGTGGAATCGAGGCTAAGGCACCTAGCTTTCCTGTGATGTCACTGCTTGCATGGAATTATAGTTCATGGCATACCCGCCATAGGTAGATAGATAGATAGATAAATAAAAACCACCACCATATTTACAAACCCCCAAATATCCATAAGTACAAAACACACATACACATGACATGACATGAGAGCAGGACACTGGGTGCCCAGCCTTGATAACCGGGACGGTGGGTTAAAGAGTCTTTTACGGCTAGCCATCTCCCCCACACACCCAGCATCCAAACTCCACACCACAAGCAATGACAGCCACACAGTGAGAAATTGTACGATAGCACAGTCACACATGTACAGTATGATACATATAAAAAGATATACACAAACATAGATGGTAGAAATTGGCAGCATTTTAGAAAAACAGAAAAATAGAATCTAAGCTTACTTACTGGAGTGGTATAAACATGGTAGAAATATAGAATAATAACTTACTTGTAGCAGTAAAAACGTAGTAATAAAGAACGACTTACTTACTTACGCGGTAAAAACCGTGGTGCACATGCACAAGAACTCCATGCACATGCAATATTATATTTTACCTGGATGTTTTGCATAATAAATAGAAACCTGGTGAGACTGAGAGTGTGTATATATCTATTATCCCAAATGGCAATTAAGTGTATTATACTTACAACAATATTGAGGGTATCAGAAATGTGTGTATATACCCTTGCCCTCTCAAAAACATTCTTTTACCCCCTTAACCACAGGAGTGAGTAAAGTTATGAGTGGGAGTGGTATAACGTAGAACACAGCTGTTACCTGGGGGGCGGGGGTGGTTCTCACGCATTTTTCGGCGCATGCGTCGAGGCGCGCGCAAGAATGCGTGCGTAGGCACTCGCTTGCTCGCGCGCATTCAGCCTGTAGTTGACCTTTATTTCAGCCAGTCAAGACCCGCTGCGTCCAGAATGCAAGGAACTCTCTGCAAGTGGACTAACTACATGTCCGGTACGTATCTTTAGCGTTTTGGGTAGAGCCTGTAGTGGTGCAATTGCACTAGCTATGCTAGTTCTCTTGCTGTTGACTAGGATGGCAGCAGAGGTGGGTTGTCCTTGATGGAAGCACACTAGCCTATTACCTAGCCGCCACTGAAGTCCACCAGGGCTGTAGGGGCTCTTTTAAGGTCACGTCATGTGATATCCACGGTAAGAGATACATACAGGCAAAAAAACACCAAAGTGAAAGGTTGTGTTTGCTCTCCAATTAGTGCACCCCACGGATCACCTTCGGTTCGACATAGTGATGCCTGGAGGAAGGCAGGTGTTGTATCTGAAGGCATCGTCCACAGTGGAGCGACAGCAGTGGGTTGTTGCTCTCGGGACCTCCAAACAAGAAGAGGAGGGAAACATTGGGAAATGTAATGCCACCACGCTATGAATCACTTTCTTAGAACACTAACATGTGTTTTGGGTGGTACTGAGGTTGTAATGGGAGGTCCTTTGTTACTGACATCTGTGTGTGTTGTGTGAGTGTGTCGTTTGTCGAATTTGTGTACTTGGGTGAAGGATAGTTTGAGGTTATACTATTTCTTCCTTTCTCCTTTGTAGCTGTTATGCTACTATACACATGTTTTTCCATATACGTACATATGTACTCTGCTAAGGTTGTCACAGGGAGAGTACCATTTCCTTTCTTAAATGGTCTCTGTGTACAGGACTCTGCCCACAAAATTGCGTACGTACGTGTGTGTGTGTCCTTGTTTCATCCCAGTACTAGGACCGAGTCTGGACCAGCAGGTGGCAGTGAGGTCAAAGATGGCGGAGCTGCAGGCTAACTGTCAGCTGCTGTTCTCACAGGTCTCCAACATGAGGTCTGCTGCCTTCTCACCTTCTCCTGATACCGAGGTCAGCCTCTTCAACTCTGCTCCCTCAGTGAACTTCATGGATGCTTATCCAGTGTGGGATACGGAGCGGGATTTGTATAGTAGTTATTGAGTCTTATTACAGTACCTTGCTGCTTTTTTTAACCCTTTGGACACCATGAGGATCTGTTTATATTAGCAGAAATTGATGTTAGCGCCTAGTATCTATAACCCCAATATAAATTACTTATGGAGGCTCATTTTATATGTCCGCGGACGGTTAAGTGTTAAGTTACAAATAGTTGTTTCTGGGGTTTATTACTTGTGGTGAGGTGTTTTTCATCCTGGAAGTCTGTGCAACATTCCTGTACACTTAACTATGTACATAGTACACTGAGGGAAAATTAGTTTTTCATTTCCGAGATTAAATATTTTACTGCATACACATTTACACTGCGAGTCTGGCATTCAAGAGAAAGATGTATTACGCAGAACCAGTGTTTTGCGACTCGCGCACATACAACTTAATCCTTTTTGTCGCTGTAGAGCATGCAGGAGGTGGCTACACTCATCAGCCACACGTGTGACAAGTTCCTCAAGATCCTGTCAGAGTGTATGCTCCTGTCCACGGCCAGTGTCAGGGGAGTGGGTACCGTACCGGCCACCCCTACCGACCATTCCAGGTTAGTGGTAGTCCAGTTGGCGTCATAGCCATATCAAATATCTGGAGTGTGGCGATTGGTGAGTGTTAAAGTGTAACCCAGCCGTCTCGTCATGTGTGATTTTTTCGATGCGGTGTTCAAATGAGCATGATGTATAGAACATGGAGGGGGAAAAGCGCATAACTTTGCACTTTTCGGTGTCAGGCAGAATGACCCGCCCGAACTATTCCCGCAACTGGAAGTAGCTATAGTACAGATACGTTTGATGGGCGTCTTTTGGAGTTCTTTCATCGCCCCATTCCATCATGCACTTAAAGACGTACTTTCGACTCGCATTTGATCGCCAAAAATGTTGATCAATAATATTATGTAGAATGTCTGTTTTTCAAAAACACACATACATTCTGCAGCCCGACTTCTTCCTTTGCTCCCATGAAGCCACTGGCCAGGGTTCCCCACTTGCTGTCTGACAAGCCGAGTCCCTCCCCACACCCCCTCATCCTCTCTTTCCCCATCTCCCTCCCTCCTTTCACAACCAGGCTGGGAAATGAAGAGGCCAGTCCCAAATCAACCGACGAACAGACACACTCTCTTCCTGTACATCTCGTTGCAACTCCTCACCAAGTGTACTGGTGAGTTAACGAGGCCCACGTACATACACACACGCAGTGCTAACTTTTGCACGCATGAAATTGTGGTACATGTTGCCACGCCCCCTTCCAACGTAGAAAGTATGTGGAAAGGATGCTACATGCTGGTGTGGCTTGACTCTCGTACAGCTAACTGTGATAATGGGTCTTAGTAGAAAGCATATACAGCGCATTGCTGAACAAGCCAAGCCAAAAACGGAACTGTGATCAAATTAAAACCCAATTGCTTCCAGCCTGTGTTTTAGTGTTTTAAAACTACTTTCTGTCCTTTTATGATGTGAAATTCTCCTGTACAGTCACCTGAGAGTATGGATGGTGGGGAGAGGTTACAGGAGAGCCCGAGAAAAGATGCGAAGTCTCCTGTTCCTTCTTCCAGATCCCACTCTCGTGCAAACTCTGAGGCCTTCGCAACTCCCGCATCCACGCCCACCGACTCTCCCCCTCCCTCCCCTCCTCCTCACACACCTCACAGCCACACCCCCCAATCCTCACAGGGCTCACATCTTCTCCCGTCATCACCACTCACACCAGTGGAACTCACTCCCACACGTAGTACAGTGACTGTGCCACCAAACTCACCGCGAATTGGAGACAGGTTCCCCAGAAGTACGGTGCCTTCTGGTCACGAAAGCTTTTTTTCCAGAGCCCCACACAAGTAAGCCAAGCTGTATATGTACCTTACACATCTTTTGTTCTTGCAATCTATGAACCACATACATACAACATCTGATGCGATGCCCATCTACGAAGATTTGTCGTACTTAGTGATGCTGTATACATATCTGTAGATTTGAAGATCTTGTCTTGAGCGATGGTGAAGGAATACCCACCCCAGACTTCTTGAGTGCTTGTCGCGCTGTTGTGCCATTCTTTGGTGAGTCTTTATACACAAATGTATCCGTCCGTGTACTATGTGAACACGTATATATATTTAGACGCACTCAGTTCTACTGCCTTTGCACCAGTCAAGGCTGACATCAATGGAAATATTGAGGTATGTACGTGTACCACCTAGTTGTTGACACATGCTCTTAGTATGTAGGTTCATAATGTGTGCTAAGGCTGGCAACGTGTGATGTGCTAAACATGCCACGTGCTGCATCACGAGAGGATAGAATCGTTTTTTGCAGTGCAGCGCAATGCAACACACAGTGTTATTGAGACAATGCAACACAGCTGTACTGGATAGGGAGACATGAAATGCTATCCCTGCAGAAACTCTCCAAGAGGTATCAGTCGAATCCGGAGAAGTTCTCCACTCTCCAGTCTATGATTGTTCACGAGCTGGAGACCAACACCCACGAGGCCAGAAACTCTGCCACTGACGCCCTGCTCTGGCTCAAGAGGTGGGCTTGCACACACAACACTCATTCACCCACCTACAGCTTTAAATGAAAAGCACTGAAGTGCAAACCCTCGGCGCACTGTGACGCGCACGCGTAAGTAAACGCATGCGCCGTACCACTAATTGATGGGCTGGGTTTAGTTTTAGCTGTTACTCGTGGTCTCTTGCCAGCTCGCGTAGAGTCTGACGCGGGCTAACTACACTACTAGATAGCATGCGAGAGGCGATACACACCCTGCGTTGCATCTTCTGGTGCCTCCGAAGTACGCAGAGCACGCGGATCGATCCGACTGTGGTAAGCCATCCCGTCCGTTGTGTATTTGCATATTGGCTTTTTCGCGCTCTAGCTTCGCAACGGAGCATTTTCAGAGAAAACCGCCTTTATTTTCTGACCTTCATTGCCCGTTCAGTAGGTCGTATCCTTTGTGAGACGAACAAACACTCGAGAAGTGAGATTGAGAGTAACAGACAGACGGACAGACAGACAGACAAACCCAACCCTCGCTGCGCATGCGCGCCGAGGGTTAACAATGCCGTTGGAATGTCTGAATGGGCTAAGTGAGGTGTGTACACGTGTGGGGATTAAGGGGGTTCGAGTAAGCCCCCCTCTTCGTAAGAGCAAAGAATCAATACTTGAACAGGCATACAGTAGCTCATGATGTCTACTTGTGTAATGGTAGAGCACAGTTTTTGGTGAGCAATCACGAGAGTCACATCCGGCATAGATGGTTTCAATTCCGTTTCTTGTATGTCCAGCAATCCCCTCTGACAACTAGGGGTATATACGCTCACCTTACTCGCCCTTCATCTTTGCCCTATGCTGGTGTGCTGTAGGGCCATGGAGTTTGTACAGGATTTCATGGCTGAGGTGGCAGGCGGTGAGCACAGTCTGGACATTGCTGCCGGGAAGGCCTACACCCAATGTCTCCGCAGATATCACAACTGGATCGTGAGAGGCATGTTCAGTGTAAGTGCTGTCTCTTTGATAAAGTCATACACATGTTGTTGGAATCGGGGAGTACTCGTGTAATGTTCACATCATTATTCCTCGTACCCACCATATTATGTATTGGCTGCAATGTGATAATATGTTTCCTCCCTCAGTATACTCCCTTATGCAAGAGCACTCACTAGTCAATCTCATTGATTTGCCACCCATTAGCCCCACCACAGTCAAAGGCCTACACAGAATGTCTGTATAATGTATTATATACTTGCCTTTGAGCAAGATACTCTTGTCTCCATGTTTAGGTACTACATTCATACAAGGAATGCACACGCGCATATTTTGCCTCGCGCCCGCCTGCCAGCCAATGCGTAAACGGACTGAGGCCGCTCGTGCGCGTGCTCTACTGCTGACTGCGCGCGAAGCCAGACTTCCTATATACGAATCTACGCGCACGGCGGAAGCTAGACTTCCTACGAATGACGGAAGTGACTACTCTGCATGGCCAGGTGTCTTAAGTGAAGAAACCAAAGCTCTGGTGATACCATTTTTGAACGTGGCCTTTCTTTCAATCCCTGCAGATGGCAGTGAGAGCTGTTCCCTACCACAAAGACTTCCTGGTTCTCCTGGGCTCTGACGGGACTGCCGACGGGAACGCTGCTGTCACCGTCCACATGGCCGATTTTGCTCGCTCCCTGGGCGAGATAAACAGCATCATAAACCTGTTTTACCAGTCACACGAACTAGACATACCTCCTGTAATTTGAATCTTGTCACCCTATCTGGCTCTCACTGCGTTGTATATATGCACCCAGCTGTATGTATGAAGGTTCTAAAAAAAGGAGAGCAGTTGGTACTGGCAAAAGGGATGGCTGTACATGTTTGGTCCATCTACTTCTCTTTATCCTTTTATACATAGGGTGGTGCGTATGTATGTAGTCTGTGTGAGTTGTATTATAGTCCAACAATGCATTGCGTACAAGGCTGTTTTGAGCACATCAACTTTGGCGTACATGTAGCCCTAGCTGTCCAGAGCTCCGCATCTTTTTCTCTTGGCATCACATGGTATTTTCTACATATGTATGTGGTCTATCACCTCATCCAAAGCCTGTTTTCCTCTGTAGTATAAACTAGACGCACCTCATTTTGCAGGGCATCTGTGGCAATTGGGTTCAGAGTTCATTCCAGGGCTAGAGGTGTATATATGTATATACTATGTTGTGGGTGGATTGTTTGAAGATTTATCATATGAGGCCAAGGAAGGTTGTTAGACTGGACTTCTGGATGTTCTGAATACTGTTTTGAGCACATCAACTTTGGCGTACATGTAGCCCTAGCTGTCCAGAGCTCCGCATCTTTTTCTCTTGGCATCACATGGTATTTTCTACATATGTATGTGGTCTATCACCTCATCCAAAGCCTGTTTTCCTCAGTAGTATAAACTAGACGCACCTCATTTTGCAGGGCATCTGTGGCAATTGGGTTCAGAGTTCATTCCAGGGCTAGAGGTGTATATATGTATATACTATGTTGTGGGTGGATTGTTTGAAGATTTATCATATGAGGCCAAGGAAGGTTGTTAGACTGGACTTCTGGATGTTCTGAATACAAAAATTGGATAAAACTGACCAAGGACTTGCAGTGAAGAATATCACAGCTGATTTGATATTGCAGCTCACAGCTGCAAATGATCAAATTGCAATTGAGCTTGGGTGTGATAAATTGGCAAGCAAAGTGAGCCTACCTAGTTGTTTTAATGCAGCTATAACTATCGGTCGGGTGCTGCACATACTATAATGTTCTACGTGATTCTAAATAAACACAAAACCCGCGAAATATTGAACTGCTTGCGCTCACTTGCCAAACAATCCCTCCTCTTGGTTACTTACTAGGTAAAAATGTACTGAATGTGATCTTTTAATTATCCTACAATAGTTATCAATCAGAAACTGATGTAAAATTCAGTGATACAAGGTACACAATGATAGAATTATTATTATAGTTACAAAAATTTATGCTGTCAAACATAACAATGTATGTACAAGTGGTTTCTAATCAGTTCACATAACGGTCGCACACAAGTTTGCAAGCTAGTCGAATAATCATTATACACCACAAAACAACATAAAACTATTGCTCTGTAAACGTTGCTATGGTGCAGTTAGTGTGCATATGATAGCCATGTGAGAGTCACATGACACTGTTGCCTCGACTAGTCTACCAGTGCCAGAAACGGAGTATCCTCTGCCGAACACGGTGCGGGAGTTGGAGTTCCAAGAGTGGCAGTCTCCACGAGCACTCACTCCACCATGCCACACACCACGCCTGTGGAGAGGAGAGAATGCAGATAGAGAGTCTATGGGCCAACCAATGGTTTTTTGTGTTTGCATGGAGGAATTAGGAAGGCCAGGCATCGTCTGTACGCAATATTAACAAGCTGCAAACAGAAGTGAGCAATTTAAAGTATTTTATTGCATAAAGGATTATGGTAGGGAGGCCGTCTACAAGCATACAGCTGGGCTCGCTTCACTTGTCAATAACTGTTACAGTACTTACTTTTGCAAGACTCACTTGAGTACGAATAATAAATGTATGACTCAAACAACTGACCGATGTCCTTTCCTGATGTCGTCTCCTTCGAGTGTTAGCAGAGGAGCATCTCTGAGTCTCCATTTTACCAGGTCTTCCCACTTGGAGGCAACTATGTGACCCTGCAAAGACAATACCCACATCAACGGACACCCCAACCACCAAGTGTTTCACCAATGCTTATCCCATTTTTACCATACATAACACAACACAAACCAATTGGTGCTACACACTCGACAACAGAAGGACAGAATAAAGTGTTCTCATTCATGAGGTGTCCTTACGTCAAGGGTTAAATTGTGTGCAAGAACTGTTGGGGAAAGAAGAGTGCATTGGTGTATTTAAGTAGACGTATAGGGGTACCACTTGCGCTTTATAGCAACATGTAGTGGTGAAACCATTACTGGTGAAGTAGCACAGGCGAGCACTACATGTAACATCAGAGCATAGATGGTGGTCAGCTCACCATAGTGTTGACTATAGGGAGATGGCGGTACTGTTCAGCCGTGATGTTCTGTAGGTTATGCTGTTTTGTTGAAATCAGAGCAGAGTATCGTCCCCACAGTCCGTAGCTCTCTGCGTCTTTCTGACACAGTATGTTAGCTCTTGATGTCCCGTTTATCAAGTTCAGTACTCCCGAGTCTCCTGTTGTCATCATTCCTCCGTCAACGTCTGAGCTCAATGCAAACAAGATGAGCTGAGAGAAGGAGACCACGACATTACTACAGAACGGTCCACAACACTTTATCTTACAGATAGTGGTTGACAGTTGGACATATCCAGCCGGCAGCTGGCAGAGCACTGAGGAGAGCCGATATACCTAAAGAGACAAAAAGCAACAATAAAAAAACCAACAGATGACCTGGATTGAAGTAATAAAGAAGTGAGATTGCTCACATGTTGCCGTGGTGTTGGGGACAAGTGGCATCTCCGAGGTCTTTGCCGTCACATTCCTCTCCCCCTTCCTTCATTCCGTTACCACACACGGGCTGAAGAATGGTGTTGCGTTAAGACTACATACTAGGTAGAGTATCTCCCCATTTACGCATTTATAATAGGGTATACGTCTCTAATTCCTTACACCAATGGAAGAAATTAACACTTAACCAGCTGCGACACTTAACCAGCCGCGAACACTTCAATGTGTCCAGAGCCTCCATAAGTCCATAAATATTTATATATGGGTTATAATACTAATACTCTATGTGATTTTCTGCTAATTTCACGAGATACCTATAGCATCCGAAGGGTTTAAAGTGTCAATATTGGTGATATTAGTGATTGTGTGTATTTCATGCTTCGGGGCATGCAAAAACTGTTCTAAAAGGTGAAAACAGGTATATACCAACTGTATTCAATGTGGTACGTTAGTGTAGTGTATAGTCTTACATCAGGGATCAGGAGTTTTCCACCCAGGGACCTGAGCAGGGGCAACAGAGGCACAAGATGGCGTCTGAATTTCTGGACATTGTCTGGTGTTAGGGGAATGACGTCGCGACGGTTGCGTGGCACTGCTTCCCTCTTGCTGACGACAACCGAGTCTCCACTCTACAGCAGAGAGACAAGGTAAATCAGATACCTTACTGCAATGTTAGCAGCTTTAGCAAGATATCAAAGTTGGATTGTAATGTTATTCTGCATTAGGGCCAGATCAAGTGAGCAAGTAGTACATTGTGGCAGCATATTTTGGCAACTCTGACAATAAACACCATAAATTGCCAACTTCTGCAGTTATCAAAGAAGTGGGTAGCAACATCCCTGGAATTAGTTGCTGCTGATTGGGATAAATGTATGTTCCTGTATAGGTATTCCTCTATAGGTAAGTGTAGTTAACCCTCGGCGCGCATGCGCAGCGAGGGTTACAGTACTTGGGTCTGTCTGTCTGTCTGTCTGTCTGTCTGTCAGTCTGTCTGTTACTCTTCATCTCACTTCTCGAGTGTTCTTTCGTCTCACAAAGGATACCACCTACCGAACGGGCGATGAAGGTCAGAAAATTTGTGGGGTTTTCTCTGAAACTGCTCCGTTGCAAAGCTAGAGCGCGAAAAAACCAATATGCAAATACGAAACGGACGGGATGGCTTACCACGGTCTGATCGATCCGCGTGCTCTGCGTACTTCGGAGGCACCAGAAGATGCAACGCAGGGCGTGTATCGCCTCTCGCATGCTATCTAGTAGTGTAGTTAGCCCACATCAGACTCTGCGCGAGCTGGCAAGAGACCACGAGTAACAGCTAAAACTAAACCCAGCCCATCAATTAGTGGTACGGCGCATGCGTTTACTTACGCGTGCACGTCACAGTGCGCCGAGGGTTTGCACTTCAGTGCTTTTCATTGCCCCTGTAAGTAGGTGTGGTAAGAATCCTTTAGGTGATGTGGAGAGTCTAACCTCAACGTCAATCCATCCCAGAGGAGTGTAGATGCAGAGACTGCGGGTCCCGATGACAAAGCCCACGGTACCAATCTGAGGTCTGCTCACGATTACGTCTCCATACCCACTGCCTCCCTCCACCGTTTGACCGGGGGAGACCATTATCTTGGCCTGGCGGAGAGAGAATTGAAAATTAATAGTGAAGGCAATACAGTGGAACCTCCAAACAAGGGAAACTATGGGGCCAACGAGTTTGTATTGAGATCGTCCCTATCTTAAAATATCACACTAAAGTATTGGCATGGGGTTGAAACAAGTGTCCTTTGTAGAGAGGCTGTGCCTATCTCGGAGGGTCCCTTGTCGACGGTTTCACTGTATGTGTGAAACTTGCAGCTACAAGACACTCAGTCCTAATCATGCAACATAAGGCAACATCATCGGGCGAAGAAAAGTAACCGAAAAGGGCAAAGATGACTTTGGCTGGGTTCAAAATACGTCGCATTGCCCTGTCGCCCCGTGGCGATTCTATCCTAGCGGGGTGCTGATTCAATCCTCGCAACGCGGAACAGTGCGACAGGGCAGTGTGACGTATTCTGAACCCAGCCTAAGAGGCAAATCGATCCCGTGAAGACAGTTCCTCACCAGCGAGCAACCTCTGCAGCCCTCCTTCCCAGTATCCCCCGTGCCACCAGACGGTCCGGTCATCCCCTTTGGTCCCATGTCACCCTTCTGACCCTGTGTCCCGTTGTCACCCTTTTCACCCATCCCCCCCTTGGGTCCCTGAATCCCCGTATCTCCAGGGAACCCTTTCTCTCCTTTAGTTCCGTTTGGTCCCTGTATACCCATGTCACCACGAGCTCCTGACAAACCAAATTAAAAGGACATTTTTTCACAGGACGGTTTTTGTGAACATTATGCACCTTTGTTTCCAATATCTCCTGTTATTCCTATGTCTCCTTTAGTCCCATTCTCGCCCCTGTCTCCCACAAGACCCTTGTCTCCCTCATCACCCAACATCCCTGGAACAAAGAGATACATAATCATTAGGTCCAGCCAAACTGGCTATGATGTACATACCTTGCAGGCCTTGGTCACCCATTGTTCCATTGTCACCCATCTCCCCCTTCTGTCCCATGAATCCCTTGGGGCCTCTGTCACCTCGGTCACCTTGTGGTCCCACATTACCCATGTCTCCTTTCGTCCCATTCATCACTGATGGCAAACGGTGGACAGGGTCATGAATATGCATGCACAAGAGTGACTCACATATCGTGTCTCCTTCTGGACCAATATCACCCTTTTCACCGACAAGTCCTTTTGCACCCTGTACACAAAAACACGGCACACAAATTAGGACATCAAAATAGTGGTGGATCAATTGCAACAACCTTAGCACCCGTATCTCCATCAATTCCTGGCATTCCGTCAGTGCCATCTGTCCCGTTGGTACCAGCGTAGCCCTTGGGGCCAAGTTTCCCGGGAGGACCATTGAGTCCAATTGCTCCCTTTACTCCCTTGTCTCCACGCTCACCAGGAGGTCCAGTGGGACCCTTGCGCCCATCCAGTCCATCAGACCCATTGGTACCAGCTGTACCAGTTCAATAACAATGCATAAAACTAATACTTCTCCACATGTATGTTTGATGTATCTACATCTCTCGCTCTTTGTACACTCTTATCCTTTTTGTACATTCTTTTTGTCCATTGGATGTGTGTGTATACTCACGTGTTCCTGGGATGCTTTCTCCCTTCTCTCCCTTCATTCCCGGGAGACCTGGCTGCCCCTGAGCTCCACGATATCCCTTCTCTCCTTTCGTTCCCTTAGCTCCATCGGTACCGTTTGATCCCCGGCTTTCCATCAGGTCCAATCATCCCGGGGCCTCCCTTTTCTCCCTTTTCACCCATTATCCCCTTGTCTCCCTGCGGTCCCTGTTCTCCTGGGTGTCCAGTTCCTCCATTCGGTCCCTTACCGTGGTGAAACACATACACACATGTCAAGACAGGTCACAAGCAGTAGCTACCTACTCACCATATCTCCTTTAAAGCCCATCATTCCCTTATCACCCATCTCTCCTTTGGTGCCCACGTCACCCATCGTTCCGTTCATGCCTTTGTCACCCTTAGCTCCCTTATCTCCATCAGTTCCATCCACTCCAGGTGGCCCAGGGTCACCTGAATATCCCACCGTATTGATATGGAGAGCCACAAAGTGTTGGTAATTCTTACCAATGCGACCGCGAATTCCTTTTAGACCTTCGTCTCCCATCATACCCTTTTCTCCATCGCCTCCTTTCATTCCCTTCATTCCTTTAGTCCCGGGCAGACCAAACCCTCCTCGTATCCCTCTATCTCCCTGTATAAGAATATAGCAGGATTTACAGCAGTCATCTACTAGACTCACTATCATGTTGTTGTAGGAAAACCTCTCTATGAAACTAAACCAGTGCCAGCACTGAGGCTGCAATACTTACCTGTTTCTCCTAGAGTTCCCTACAGAAAGAAAGATGTTGATTAAATACCGCAGGAGATGTGTTTCAAGTCTCACTTTGAATCCCGGAGGACCCGTCACTCCAGTGGGACCCTCTGTTCCGTTATCTCCCACGACTCCCTCTGCCCCAAGCTCTCCCTGTGGCCCCACGTCTCCCATGTCTCCTTGGTCTCCTTTTGGACCAACGGGTCCCATCTCACCAATCTCTCCTTTCATTCCCTGCACAACAAAATATTCTCACAGACTTATCTTTGCCATTTGGTGTGTGTGTGTGTGTGTGTGGCGTGCTCTCCAGCTGATCACGTTCACATAACTGTTTTTTGTGATCAGCGAGACTTGTTTTACACAAGTCTTTGATAGATGGTAGAGAGTGGTGTACACTGATTCTACTGACCGTTTTTCCTTCGGGTCCTATCAAGCCATCAGGTCCCGGCTGGCCCTTTTCACCATCATCTCCTGACGTTCCCTGCAAAGAAAGAACGATTCTTTAAATGTGGCAATGAGCTCCAGAGAGACACATGGACAGAAGAGATTTGGGAGCGTGTCTCACTTTAGGTCCTGCTTTTCCCGGATATCCTTTCTGCCCCTTTGGACCAGGACCACCATCAATACCCTAGAGCCACAGATAATACACGTACGTGTGCTGACACTCACAAAGATGATCCAAACCGCTCACGTCCATTCCTATAGGTCCGGTACGTCCGGGCCGTCCTTTCTCTCCTTTGTCACCATCGATCCCCAGGAATCCCTGCAGGATTATTGCAAGTTTAGAGTAGGGTGCAGTTGGTGGGCTAGAGATGTTCAGTTTTCATGTATGGTGGGTATTGGGAAGTAAAGCAAGCCATGTAGTCATGTGCTTGTCCATTTGTATTATCACAATGTTCAGAATACATACTAACGAACCTTGAAATTATACACTGTCCTTCGGTGACAAATAATGTGTGCATTTCTCACCGGTTCTCCTGCAGAGCCAGGGTCTCCATTTTCACCTTGGTCACCATCAAGTCCATCGTCACCCATCATACCCTGTGGTGTGTGGTAGTGACAGTCTAGAACTGACACTGCAGTAACATGCAACAGACTGCCCACCTTCATTCCCTTTGCTCCCTCGACGCCAACGGACCCTGGAGGTCCCCTATCTCCCTCCGATCCCTGAGACACAAGGCAATCCATGTGGTAAGTTTGAATGTTGTGCTTTTAGGGACCCCATGACTTACGATGGGTCCCTCATCTCCAATTGTTCCGTTTACTCCTTTTTCTCCGGGAGGACCCACATCACCCTGCACATGAGCAACAGTAGCTCACTTTCTAGGTACTCATAATATGTTTGAGGAGATATAAAATGATAAGGTGTCATTTATAAGTCATAACCTACTTATAAGCGAGACAACAAGTAATAGAGAGAGAGGGAGAACATGTTTGAGTTACCTCATATCCAATGTCTCCTTTTGGTCCTCGTGGTCCCTTATCACCTTGTCCCCCAGTGATACCACGTCTTCCCTTAATTCCCTTCACGCCTCTTGGACCTTTATCACCCTCATCTCCCGGTGTACCCTGTGATAATATTATACCACAACACCAGAAATAATTTGACCATTAATTTTTTGTGTGGCTTTCCAAAAATATAATGGGTGGCTTTCACAAGCTGAAGCACCAACTAAATCTCTCAGCAGAATGAATTCGTGCACAACTCGCACTCCCAAAGATACTACAGTATGTTGCTAATTAATGTGAAATCTTGACGCACATGAATTGCCAATGCTAGAGTACAGTGGTTGTCACTCACAAGTTCTCCTTCTTTGCCCATGGCTCCTTTATCTCCATCCACACCATCATCACCAGGTGTGCCTGCTGGACCCTGTAATGCACACCAACACACAACATACGTACACACACTGTAGGAATGATGAACGCAGTTGTCTCACCATTTCTCCTTTCAGACCTCGTGGTCCATTAGTGCCAGGAACGCCGTCTGTTCCATCCACACCATCAGTACCACTTACGCCCTGAACAAAAAGGCTAGTTAGTAAATCTAGCAACTCCGAGGTAAACTCACAGGTGATCCTTTCTTGCCATTCGGTCCCTTTGACCCAGGATGTCCCTCTTCTCCCTTCATCCCATCATCTCCGTTCATACCCTGTAACACATTACAAGTTACTCTCAGGTGCCAGTAAGCGTGCTATGAGGTCGTGATAATACCTTGTCTCCTTTGTCACCGACTGTACCATTGTCTCCTTTCTCTCCTCGGAATCCAGTGTCTCCTCCAGATCCCTACACACCACGATGCAACCAAACACAAGCACATAATCAATTTCTACACAATACAACCACGATTCTATACATAATATACCAACGTACACAATAGTAAAGAGCTAAATAGGGGTTAAGAGATACGTACACCAACTGCAAGACTTACCACTTCCCCAACTCCTCCCTTTTGTCCCTTGTCCCCAGTCACACCTTTCGGACCCATCATACCCTGAATGTGTGCAGAGCACAATAATCAGAGAGCAAGGCTATTATCATCACTTGTTACCTTGTCTCCAACACTGCCACTCCCTCCCATATCGCCATCCATGCCGGTATCACCCACATCACCCATCATACCCTGCAGTGAAACTTTGTGTGTCAGTTTGCTTTTCTACAATTGCGTTTTCACCTTTTCTCCTACAATGCCTGTGCTTCCAACGTCGCCATCAAATCCCATTTGTCCCTTTATGCCCTAGATAACAAGAAAACAGCAAAATAATTATGGTGGCATGTATAAGCATGTCACAAATACACAAAGGGAGCCACATATCGGTTAGTTTATCAACATACCTTCTCTCCCATTGGCCCTAGATCTCCAGGGAATCCCACGAGTCCCTTGTCACCCATCATTCCTTTCACTCCCTATCAAACAGCATATTATGAGTAGGTCAATGGTACTGTTACTGTACTCCACTTTCGCCATATGTTGAGGGCATGCGCTCTCATATGCATTACCAAAAAAATACTCACAAAATAGCTATTCTTAAAAGTATTACTTTTTTTCCATTTTCCCCGGTAATGCCCAGTGTGCCTTTCTCCCCCATGGCTCCCTTCACACCATCTTGTGCCTGTATGTCACACAGACTCGTGGGTAAGGACAGTCGAAATGAACCAATTGGTAGGAGCTTACCGGGTGTCCTTTGGGTCCTCTAGGTCCAGTTGTACCAGTAGGACCTTCATCTCCAGGCAGGCCCGGGTCACCCTGAGGGATTACCACAGAAAAGAGCACATGCATCAATTGGTACCAAGTACATATGAAGTCTTACAAGTTCTCCGGGTTCTCCAATTCGGCCTCTCACACCTTTCATTCCAGAGTGTCCTTTCTCGCCTTCGATGCCCTACAGATGTGCAGATGTGTAACAGTCACGAGTGAAAAACACACACAAATGTACGCATACCTTCTTTCCATCTGCTCCAACAAGTCCGTCTGTTCCATTGCGACCGTCATAGCCATCTCTACCAGGCTTTCCCTACCATAAAAACACATGAGACACACTCACTCACCAAGCTGTTGGTAAGTGCACCTAGTCAGTCAAATGGCAACGATTTTCTTATCTAGACTAGCTGTCCAACACACGTGTTAAAAAGGTGAGTATATTATGATTTGCTTGCACTTGCTTTTGTTGGATATCCCTAGGCAACCGACGTGTATGAAGCTAGGTACTTTGGGGGATTTTATCAGCCTATACAATCCTACATGTGCAAGCAGGGTTCATACACGTCACTTGTCTAGGGATATCCAACAAATCTGTTGCAGTACCCAGACAGGACAGCATGAGCCCTGTAAGCACTGCAACATATATTTGTTATAGTTGTGCTCAACTTACAGGCAAGCCTTGTCTTCCATTGATTCCCTTTTCTCCCATGTCACCATCTGTTCCATTAATACCTGGTTCTCCCTGTGGCCAGTGACAGAAACACTCTTATATAGATACTTGACATCAAGGCAAAGTTATTTTTTACCAGTTTTCCATCCTCTCCTATAGAACCTGGGGGACCAGTGGGGCCAATAGGACCTGCAGGACCCTGCAACATACGTAACCGCAGTATTCATTATCACACAGTAACTCGACTAAAGAAACGTACGGTGGGTCCCTCAGGACCAGGGTCTCCATGATCTCCATCTCTACCAGGATATCCCTTCTCTCCTAGAGGACCTGTATCTCCCTGTTTAGATGCCAGTATAGCAGATGCAAACTTTGCTGTCAAGTGGAGAGTTTTAAACGTACCGTAGGGCCATCGTCTCCTCCTGACCCAATCTCTCCTTTGTCTCCCTGAGGACCTTGCATACCGTCGTCTCCCTATACATGCAAATGATCACAGATGTTACCACGTGCAACTATGAAGATTATGCTCTGTAGGTCTCACCTGTTCACCTTTGTTCCCCTTGTCCCCCATGTCCCCTTTCTGACCCTGATCTCCTTGGTCTCCCTACACATCAAAGAGCATTTTGTAGCCTTTTTTCACGTGATTTAGAATTGACTAACCTTCTTTCCTTTGTTACCAATCAACCCTGGACCTCCCTCTTCTCCCTTTACACCCTTAACACCTTGAGGACCTTGTTCTCCCTGAAAGAGAATTGAATAATTAATAATGCAGGCTAGTTACGTAACTCTACTTACCTCTTTTCCTTTGTCTCCTATGGGACCAATTTCTCCTTTTTGACCTTTGTCACCAGGAGTTCCGTCACTTCCATCAAAGCCAACTCGTCCTTTAGGACCCTATAAAACATCAGGTATCAATCGTTGGGATATTCATTCGATCTATGCCTTGTTTACTTGTAGAGGAAGTTGTATTAAGTGTATCAAACAAGGAGATGCGAATTTAGTTGGCATGCGTATTGTTCAGGCTTCTTTCTGTGCTGTTTGCTCCTGCAAAATGTTGCAAATTTTAAAACATATTTTTTGTCTTTTCCCTCAATCTCGTGCCCTTTCACTCTCCACCTTGCCCCAACCTTCTCCTAAAACGTATGCCCATCAAGCAAAAATTGTTGGGTCTTGCCCTCCGAGTATATAACTTTGAAACAGCCACTGCAGTTGATTGTTGTGCAAAAGTATTTTTATGTGTTCAAACCTTGTCTCCCATATCTCCCTCGGGTCCTCTCTCTCCTTGATCACCTGGTGAACCTCTGATTCCTTTGTCACCCTGAGGAAATTATCATTAATTAGCATCATTAGGCATAGAAAAGTTAATACATACTTTGTTTCCTTCCAGGCCCTTACTTCCTTGTAGGCCCTTAGGACCCAAGTCTCCTTGCTGACCCTAGTAGAAGAAGTTTACAAAAGTTACCCTGAGAGGACAGGAAGGATATTGGTGCTACCTTTCGACCCACTCCTCCATCAAGGTTGGCAATACCCTTTTGACCTTTCTCTCCTTCCATTCCCTTGACTCCCTGCAAAATAAAACAGCAAGACAGTTGGACGGTGGCATACAAGGTAAAGGATAGAGACTGTCACCATTTTTCCATTTGGGTCCAATGAGTCCAGGGGCTCCCTGGATTCCATCAGGACCGGCTGGGCCTGCATCTCCCTACACAGACAGACGACGTCACCACCAGTATCCACTGTAGAGTCGGGTCATGTACCGACGGCTCACCTGTTTCCCTGGGTCTCCAACCAGGCCAGGGCCACCCTCGGGGCCTTGGTCGCCCACATCACCCATCACTCCCTTGGGTCCCTGCAATCCATGTGCTCCCGGGTCTCCATTATCTCCCTACACACACGGTGATTGTTGGATATTGGGTCTGTTAGTGGTGTCGACCGTTAGGTGAACCTGTTCTCCTTTGTCTCCAAGGATACCCTTGGGTCCCATCTCTCCCTTTTGTCCCACAAAGCCCTATGAGAAGAGGTTTACAAAAGTTCAGTACTTTACTGAAGTATGTAAGATGCCCCATACCGTGTCTCCTTTAGGCCCCATGTCTCCTTTGGGACCTTCTGGTCCAACATCTCCCTATTTATACACGACACAATATACGGAAAGTCACATAATTTCCATCGTGTGGTCTACATGGCACTTGCCTGCTCTCCTTGCTTTCCAAAGCCTCCTAGTATCCCTTTCATTCCCGTCTCTCCCTTTGGTCCCTGTTGAATCACACAGAGCAATTCAATCTCTACCCAACAACACAACACATGTACAGTATGGATCATCCAGGTGAGTTGCTTACCGGCTCTCCGGGCGGTCCTGGAGGTCCATGTGGTTTCATTGGACCCTCCTACAAAAACAAAACACGTAACTAACTTATCTGACTTCATTGCTCCAAAAACACATAGCACGCATTGCCATGTATATGCACTCTTTGTCACTGCTGAGGAGTGAGGACTGTAGTGCAGTTGATTTTTGACTAGTGCACATGCTCCCACTTGCAGTATTTAAACAAAGCACAGTCCGTGTTGAAAGTGTCACGTCGTGCTACCCGGTAGGTATCCTAGTCAACAGTGTACGTATTCTTTCGCTTTGCATTCTGGTGACGCCCTGGAAAGGTACTCACCCAAGGCACCCAGTCACAGGTGTCTCCTGGCAACTGGATGTAGACGAATCGGGTGTTGCGGACAAAGGCCAGGCAGCCATCAGTGGGCGGAGTCTCGTTCTCATCACACGAAGCTATCAAATCGTCAAACGTCTCATAGATGTTGATCTATTAAACAGTATTGCCACATTTCTAAAATTGCTAGAGACTAGACCAGAAGGGTTCTTACGTGTTTCCCTCCAATTGGTCCCTCTGGTCCAGGAGGCCCCTTTCTCCCGGCAAAACCTTTCTCTCCCATTATTCCAGGATCACCCTGTTCCCCCTTGTCCCCCATCGACCCATTGACTCCCTTCTCTCCCATTTCTCCCTCTATACCAATGATTCCTTTTTCTCCCTTCGTGCCCTTTTCCCCTCTGAATCCGTCGTCACCAATCGTGCCGTTGTCACCTAAACGAAAACAATTTGAGCTATTTTGCGTCTTGTTGGACGACTCAAACCTTTCTCTCCATCTCCTCCTTTGACACCCTTGTCTCCTTCCTCTCCCTGGAACCCCTTTGGTCCCTCGTCTCCAATCATTCCCATACTTCCATTCACACCCTTATCACCTGTAGTGCATAACAATTTGGCAGTGCGGTGGTGGGTGGTGGGTGGATTTAGGTAGAATTACATGATTGTGCAAACATCAATGTACAGCACACAACGACTGCCAAATTCAACTTTCATATCAGGGTTTACTAAAATTAATGAAGGTCACAAAAGAACATATTCAACACACTGTACGATGTACGGGAATATTTATCTATGTTCCTCACTATACCTACGTATGTACTGTGTTACTCAATTATCCCAATATATACCCGTTAGATGAAGAAGTAACCGGTGTGGGGGTTAGACTAGAAATTAAACCGTTTAGGTAAAATCGCTAAATTCTATGTCTTGGTTTTCTAGAGTAGAGTTACTGGATATAATGAAAGCACTAAAGTGCTAAAACTGCGCATGCGTGGTTCCGCTAATTGATGGGCTGGGCTATTAGTGTCTATGCATTTACTCGTGGTCTCCCACTAGTAGCTCGCGGAGAGTCTGACACGGGCTAGCTACAGTAGTAGATAGCATGCGGGAGTCGATACACGCCCTTCGCTGTGGCTTCTTGTGCCTCCAAGGTACACAGAGCAAGCGGATCAGGTCGAGGTGAGCCAGCTTATCGCGTGGACCGCGTCTAATATACGCATGTGCACCGCTAATTGATGGGTTGGGCCACGCAACGTGGTCCACGGCCGTACCAGTTTATCACTCTCGAACACAGCCGTTTCAGTAAAATTGCCGTTTTATTTTTCAGGCTCACGTAGTTCTGAAGCCATTGGTATCCCTTATAGGCCGCCTCGTGGCCTGTAGTGCCAGAATAAGCGTCGACACATAGACAGACAGACAGACAGACAAACCAAGTACTGTGCGCATGCGCGCCGAGGGTTAATGACCCAAACTGAAATATAACAAATCCACAGGTGATATTACCTTCATCCGCGGGAGGTCCTTGGTATCCCTCATCACCAACTGTTCCGTTGTCACCTTTAGGTCCTCTCATTCCCTTTAACCCCACAGTGCCTTTTTCGCCTTTGTCACCTTTCATACCACGGCCTTCTTCGAGGTCAACATCTGCAATCCATCGATGTGTTAATCAATAATTAGTATGATCTACAGGGAACTACTGTGTACGGACTTTTTTCAGGGAAAAATAATGCTCGTGTCACTGTCAAATTCGGAAAATGAAAAGTTTACAGACATTTTTACACACTGCGCATCTTGGTTCACGTGCACAGGAGAGCAAATTGCAGGTGACAATGTTAACTTAGACGGTGCAACCTGCCGAACGGTAGATGTATGTGTATAGAGCAAGGCAGCTCGATCAGCTGTTGCTTGCTGACACAGGTGTAAGCAATAGCAGTGTGTAATGCAACTGACTCTCGGGGGATCCCAGTGGCCCCTGGTCTCCCACCATCCCTTTGTCTCCCGTGTCACCCTACACACAGCAGAAATGACGTAAAATGCTGATATTACAGCAGGAGCCAAGAGTTTAAAATATACACAGTGGAACCTCTGAACCAGGGACATTATGGGGTCAACAATTTTGTCCCTTGTAGAGAGAGTCTCAGAGGTCAAATAGTATTAGCATGGGTATGAAACAAGTGTCTTTTGTAGAGATGTCATCCCTATCTCGGAGGTTCCCTTATCAGAGGTTCCACTGTAGCTCTGTCAGGGCTTACAATATCGCCTCTGTTGCCGGGTGTCCCATCAGTTCCATTCTCTCCGTCAGTTCCAGGGATCCCGTCATCACCAAGTGGGCCGGTGGGTCCAGGCATGCCCGTCTTCCCAGGGACACCAGGGTCACCAGGCACTCCTGTTCTACCACCGCTGCCCTTCTCTCCAGGTGGTCCAATGATTCCGTTAGTACCATTACGTCCATCTACAAACGAATATCCATCATCAATTTTACATTAATTAGTTGGATAGTACTTCCATGAATAACTTTAGTAGCAGAGCCTGCTAGTTCATTCTCCATTGCGGACCATGATTTTATGCCTAAAGCGTGTTAGCTTGCTCTGGGCAAGCCGGTTACGTAAAACACCCAATCAACTAGAGCAAAGTTAGTGCATCTTGGCGAGCAACAAAAGTGTGAAATCTCAGTGGATTTTGACGACGTGCCTGATCATCAGATATAATATAAAAATCGCATCATCCAGAAGACTATTTAGGCTCGGGTTCGTTCACTGATAAGGGTAGTGTGCCACTGAAATTTCATACCGTGAGCCTCCCATTTCTCAACCTTACCTTCTCCGGGCTGTCCAGGATCTCCTTTCTGCCCCCTCATTCCCTTGGGCCCCGTCTTGCCGGGGAAGCCCATATCCCCAGGGTCACCCATATCACCAGGGGCTCCGTTCATGCCAGGGATACCAGGGGTGCCGGGGTCACCCGCTCGTCCGGGGACGCCAGGCTCTCCCTTGGCTCCTCTGTCGCCGTTCATTCCCTCGTCCCCGTCAGGACCAGGGACACCAGCACGACCGTCAAATCCCTGCATGTGAGATAGGTAGTAGTATTGCCCCTACTACTTCACGGTAGGAGCTTTAGAAGTCCATTATCATCCAAGATACACACAGAGCACACAGGACTGTAAAAGGTCACTGACATTGCCAAACTAGGTAGCTATGAAAGCACGACACTGCATTAAAACTGTTATGGACCTAGTAGAATCAGCCAAACTGATAGAGATATACTCACAGGCTCTCCAGCAGTTCCGTTCTCTCCTTCCAGTCCTTCGTCCCCCATCATCCCCATGAGCCCCTTATCCCCCACTTCTCCTTTCTCTCCATCTTCTCCCTTTTCCCCATCAGTTCCATTCGTTCCCGGCGTCCCTGGCTTCCCTGCAGTGGTCCACAATATATCCATATCATGACCGAACGTGCTTCATGTTGTGCATGAGGTACTGAGAAACTTTCCGCAAAACTCTTGGTTCGAAATTTTGGGCGCAGGGACATCCTCGTTTGGATACGGGTATTTCTATTTTTTTGCTACTGCATCACAACAGATTTCTCCCTGGAATGTGTTCCTACTGTTATGGCTAGTGCAATACATGTGCAATCGTACCAGGGTGTCCCATATCTCCCTTCATGCCCTTGAGTCCATTGTCACCCTTCTGCCCGTCGTCTCCCTTTTCCCCTAGGTCACCAGGACGGCCCTGCTTGCCAGGGTAACCAGGAAAACCTTTCTCTCCCTGAAGAGAACAGAACAATAATAACACGAGCCAAAGAAAATAGTACTAGACAGAAGAGCTTGCTAGGCTGCAGCAAAGCGATACATCTGTAAGTGATTGAATCTTGCCTTTGGTCCGACCATGCCAACAATTCCCACTATTCCCGTTGGTCCTACAACTCCTTCTGGTCCAATCACTCCCTGGTGGAAGATAACATACGTGGATTAGGGTGTGCACGTGTGGTCAATGTGTGCATGTGCATAGAGAAGAAGATAGAGCTCTCATTGCTCCTCGGATGCAGTTTTCGCTATTTACAGTGAAACCTCCAAAAACGATCCTCTGAATAAAGAACACCTCCCTATATAAGGGACACTTGGATGTGTCCCATTGTGATACTAAATGACACCTCAGAATAAAAGACACTTTCAATGTCCCCACGGTGTCCCTTATGTAGAGGTGTCACTGTAGTACTAGTCCTACTGCATATGAACACAGTGTCACTGGGGGTTGCCTGTTAGCACAGCATTCATTTCGGTACACCCGAGAGAAAGTGGGGGTCCCTGACCCAACCCCTGCCAATTCAGCTTCCACACAATTACATTGGCCTACCGTATCTCCAGTTGGTCCCTCGTCTCCAGGCGGGCCAGACACACCCTGCAGTCCCTTATCTCCAACAATTCCCCGTGGACCCCTTGGGCCCAGGTCACCCTTCTCTCCCTGCAACAACACCAGGTAAAGAGTATAACTTACTATCTCTTCACCCACATACTGGTGTTATATCGCAACTAATGTCTGACCGTCATTCCGGGAGGTCCCTTTCTGCCAGGTACACCAGAATCACCATCTTCTCCTTTCATGCCATCAGTTCCCTATGAACCAGCAGTACTTATAGAGTCATACTGCCATTCCCTGGTCAGTTGTATTCTTACATTTTCACCCTTCTTTCCCATGTTCCCGATGTCTCCAACTCCACCCTTTGCCCCATCCACTCCCTGCAATATACAGTAGCAGAATTGAGGTGAGTTCTTCTTTATTAAAACATGCAACCGCTTTTGTCTTACATTAGCTCCAGGAGCTCCTGCACGACCTGTCTGTCCCCTGATCACCCGTCATACCAGTTGCACCTTCCATTCCCTATGGAAGAAATAAACAAGGGATCTCCTACACATGTGTAAACTACGAGGTAGAAAGGCAAGGCACAACAAACAAGTCAACCACACCAAATATGTACGGGACTGTAGCTGAATTGAGCCTTATCTCGCAATGAAACAATGCCCACCTTTTGTCCAGGGACACCAGATCTTCCATCGACTCCCGCAATACCTTTCGTTCCATTTACTCCGCTGTCACCCTGCAGAAAGATGACCACTCAACAACATTGCCACTTTCGACACAAAAAGCGTACTGCAAGTACAGTGGTACCCTTCTACCCCTTACACCAATGACACAAACTAAGGGTTGGCTGTTTTTTTCAAAAACTGTCCATACTAGTGACACACCCATATTTCAAAGTTACAAAAAAGGTGTGTGTATTAAAGAGGTCACCTTGTCTGCCGGTTTTCCAGTAGGACCTTGTTCACCTGCTATTCCTTTGGGCCCCGCCACACCCTAGAGGGCAATGCAGAGTAAACCTACCACGAAAACAAAGATAGACTATACCTTGGGTCCCATTGGACCTTCTGAGCCCCTGTTACCCTCCCCTCCTTTGGCACCAATAGGGCCCTGCACACAGACACACAGACGCAGTAGTGGATTATAGAGTTTCAGTCACTTGTAATGCACATACGCCTGGTCCAGAATCTCCAGCGGAACCCTGGTCACCTATCTCACCAATTTCTCCCATTCCTCCCTGAAAAAAATAATCAGGAAGAGATCGACATCAATCACTTTTGTTGACCTGATTATGAGCATGTTGGAATCATACATGTGAGTGGCACCTTTAACCAATGCATTAGTTAACAGATGCTTAAAGTTGCTCAATGCCGTACAAGAGAATTGTGTATTTGCCAGTCACTTACTGTTGATCCTATGTCCCCTTCTATCCCAGGGTCACCTCCGTCTCCCATCCCTCCTTTGGCACCCTACATTCACAATGGAACAGTCAAACACAGCTTAGTCCTAGCCTGTCTGCTGTCTGTTACCTTTGCACCCATCTTCCCCTCATCTCCAATTTCTCCATCGGTGCCATTTATTCCAGCAGCTCCTTTCGGACCCTGAAAGAGAATGAGAATGGTGGATGATATATCAATACATACTTGTGTAGCTTTTCTCACGAGCTACTCATAGCCCAATCCAAATTAACATGCTTACATCATCTCCTGGGAAACCAGCACCTCCGTCCGTACCGTTTCTGCCGTCCATGCCGGGAGTACCGTCCAAACCATCAGGTCCCTGGTCAATGTAAGAACAAAGAACACAAAGTGAATAACAACACATATTCATATACCAGCTGAGTGGGTGACATTTACTTACAGGATCTCCAATGTCACCAACGTCTCCTACTTCTCCATTATCTCCCGTATCTCCATCTTGGCCAGTGTTTCCAACATCTCCCTGCACGAGAGAGATGAATATGAAAATTAAAAAGCCCCTCCCCTATTAATTAAAACCACTTGTACTCACCTTTTCACCCATCATGCCTGTCATACCCGTGTCACCCACAAGTCCAGGTGCTCCGGTAGGGCCAACGTTTCCCTGCACAAAAAGTCAGACTCATTTTTCTAATTCTAAAATGTTTTTTTTCTTCTCACCTTGGGTCCTGGTTCTCCTTTGTCACCAAAAGGTCCTGCATCACCTTTTATTCCCATCTCCCCCTACATTACCCAAATGGTCCATTATTGTGTTTTCTCATGTGGTTGGTTCTTCGTGTTAAGACAGAGTTTTGAGTCACGAAATCTGCTGGTCAGCATTTTCTTAGCTCGTAACCCATGTTCATAACTTATGACATTGGGTAACCAATAACAAATTTCGTGACTCAAAACTTAGTCGTAGCAAGCAAATAATTCTTGCCTTCATGCCAATGATTCCTTTTAGTCCCTTTGCTCCCTCTACTCCCTGGCTTCCATTGATTCCTTTTTGTCCCTGTCCACCAGAAGCATCTCAGTGGAATGTTATCCCAATGTTTAATTTGATACACTTACTTCATCTCCCATCATCCCTTTCTGTCCCATTTCACCTTTATTTCCCATAACTCCAATGTCTCCCTACAATGGCACATAAAATAGCAAAGTAACCCAATTGTGCCTGTGCAGGCCAGTTTATGAGAAATCAACATACTCTCTCTCCTGGGAGTCCTGTTCTTCCAAGGGTCCCGTTGTCTCCCTTTTGACCCATGTCTCCTTTATCACCCTGAAAAAAACGGCAAAGTTGGTAGTATGGTAGATCTTTCACTTTGGAGTTCTGAATGCTAACTACTGTGTTGTCGTGTTATGAACACTCACTTCATCTCCTGGACTTCCTTGTCTTCCATCAATACCCTTCTCTCCCTTTGTTCCATTCTCTCCTGGTACACCCTACAACACCGTAAAGTACACAGATAAATGCCTCTTCAGTTAAAATGTTTTTAAGAGTTTGCATGTACATACATCCTCTCCATCCTCTCCTATGCTTCCATCCTCTCCTGGTGCTCCAGGTGGCCCTTTGCGTCCCGGAATACCCTGTGAAATACAGAGCAGTAGAAGAGCTCAAAAGAGACAACGGTTATTAACTGGACATTTCGATAGGCAAGGAATTCAGCAATCCTTTGCTCTTTCAATTCTCATTGTGATTGTCAGATTGCTCTAAAAACATCCACACCATTTTCTAACCTTTGGACCTCCTTTTCCGGGGAATCCTTTGTCTCCGTCCATTCCATCATCTCCTTTCGCGCCATCATCTCCCTTCATCCCAGGCTGGCCCTGTCTCCCTGGGAGTCCAGGATAACCTGGTTTACCATATAGTCCAGGAATGCCCTGAGAATGAGTAATCCCATACATATGAACAGTAGAACCCATACAGTGTGAACTAAAAAACTAGCCAACCAGGGACTCTCAGCCTCTCTGTGAACTAAAAAGCTCAGTTAACAATACATTGTTGTGCCGTGCTGTGCTGTGCCGCGTTGCGTCACATTGTGATGGATTATTTCTACATGGCGCATGCTGTGAACCAAGCCTAATGGGGCAACCCAAATGTGTGAAGTCTGACAGTCACGAATAGTCATAAACACAAGGACATGACCTAACGTTCTCTAAAACAAGCAGGAACTCCAAGATGAAGACTGAGGTACTGTTTGGGGATTATTATATGTGTGAACATGAACTATGGGCATTAACACTTCTGACCGATTTTCCTGGTCTGCCCGGGTCTCCAGAATCCCCTTTCATTCCATCCATCCCGTCAAATCCGTCAGGCCCCTGCGTGGGTACTTATTACATCACCATTACATCATAGATAGACTCTGACTTACAGGGTCTCCAGGATGACCAATTCGACCCCTCACACCTATCACTCCTGTTGGACCGGAGGGACCCTGGACAAATAATCAATATGGGTATGTCAACAACAAACAAAACAAAGCAAAGCCAAACAAATAAACTACACCCAGAGGATAACTCTTTTTAAAAACAAGAGCTGCCCTGGTGCGACCCACGACCCTGCAGTCTAGGCGAGTGCTCTACCAACTGAGCTACCGGGCAACTCAGCCGTGTTGAATGTGAAAACTACGAGCAAAGGAACAACAAACAAGTCAACTACACCCAGGACAGCTCTTTTGTTTCAAAAGAAGAGCTACCCTATGGGATTCGAACCCACGACACTCTGCAGTCAAGCCGAGCGCTCTACCAACTGAGCATGTACACCATAGGAACACATACGACCAAATTAAACCTGGTAGGTATGTTCTATGGTTCCTATAGAGCCAAATGCATCCACAGAATAAATGTTCACGAAAGTAAAATCCAAGAGTATGCAAGAGCAGGTAGAGCACAAAGAGACATCTATATATACCTGCACTCCAGGGACGCCAAGTCTGCCATCTGTTCCGTCCCGGCCGGGTTCACCAACCTCTCCCATGCCTCCTTTGTTACCCTATGATGAATTGCATACATTAAGCCTTCTCTGGACTATGTATACTGAAGAACATACCTCCAGTCCCTTAGGTCCCACACCTCCATCGTCTCCTTTGACTCCCATGTCTCCTTTAGTTCCATTCACTCCCTGCGTGAATAAAATCACCATAGAATTGCTCAAAAACATACATGCATAATTAATTCCCACTCTTCCACCTTTTCTCCCACGTCACCATCTTCACCGGTTTCTCCAACTATCCCCCTTTATCCCCATGTCACCCTGTGGAACACGTAGTGTGCATTCACACATGTTAGGAAGAGCTGTGGGAAGGTCTTACTGGATCTCCGGGAAGTCCCATTCTTCCAGTGATACCTCGGTCTCCCAAGTCGCCTTTATCTCCAGCAGGTCCTATTGGGCCCTGAATATACCAACGACAGTAGAGGTAAGTAAAGTAGAGACTCTAAACTATGTAAGTATGTGTAATATCAAATAGTACTGTGGAACCTTGTTGTCTGAGTATATACCAATGGGACAAAGAAAGTGTCTACATTAGCAAAGTATCCTCATTTTCAGGGATAAAATTAGACGCAGGAACTTTATTCGGGGAAAGTAAAGGTTCTTATTAGAGAGTTGTAATCCCTCTTTGCAGGGCTGTCATTACAGAGTGGTCACTGTAGTCGAGCAAATTATGTAACTAGTGGACTATACTGTCAAACAATACAAACCAACTACTTTCAAAATTCACCCCAACTACTCTTCAATAACACAGGAGCTATAAGGTGTTTTACTAGACTGGTGAGTTATGACTGACTGGAGGTCCTGGAAGTCCAGCTCTGCCATTGATGCCCTTCTCTCCTTTATCTCCTTCGGTACCATTCACTCCATCATTCCCTGGATCACCAACATCACCCTGCACACACACACACACACACACATGAAGAAGATACAGTACTACCAATATTATAATGTATTGGTATGGTAAATAAGTGTTGATTTATTAGTTTTTCTTCTTTCAAACTGTTAGTAAGCCATAATGTGCGTTTAGAGTTCTATACATGATTTATGGGAACGAGGGGTGTGGTCTCGAGACCACAACCCGAGTTCCCATATAAGTCATGTATAGAACGATAGGACGCACATTATGTGTTTATTGTGACTTTGTAGCAGTCGTCGACCTCCAGTAAGAGATTTGCAACGGCATAGCATACTTCCTATGCGCACGTGCTCACTCGCTAGGTTCTCGAGCGAGTTTCTGTTCTCGAGGCTACCGCAATCGAACAAGGTCGTGATGGTGGCTCTTTCTCCCTCAGAGAAACTCGTTTCATAGGTCGCTAGGCCGTTTGACCGGTCGGAGTGCCGCAGCCACGGACTCGCTTGTCACAGGGAGCAAGAGATAGCTGAATGAAGGGGTGTGGTCGCCTCAGCCATCCCTCGCCTCTACAGAACAGTTTTTGTCTACACTATGTCTACGTATACGGTGCTGATGGTAGTTCAATAATTTTTGTATTGAACGCATACTACAATACGGGAAATAAAAGTATATGCGCTGCTCCTTTGATCCGCCCACGCAAGTCACAATAATATACCTTAACCAAGTGAACAATTGCCATGACTAATGCTTCTGTTTCGTTTCTTTCTTGTACTCATTACAGCGCTTAATTTCTACAAACATATAAAAAATATCCGTGGAAATATCTCGTGCTAACTGACCATGTCTCCTTTTTGCCCCATTTCACCCATGGGTCCATCAGTGCCCTTCTCTCCAACATCACCCCCATCTCCACTCTCTCCCTTGTCCCCAACATCTCCCTCATCACCAGGCTCTCCAGGAAACCC